GGATATACTCCTAACAGTGGAATTGCTGGGTCAAAAGGCAGGTCCATTTTTAGTTTTCGTACTGAAAACTAAAATAGAAATTTTCAAACAGAAAATTCCATACTGTTTTCCATAATGGTTGTACCAGTCTGCAATCCCACCAACAGTGAACTAGCATCCCCTTTTCCCCACAACCTCTCCAACATTTGTTGTTTGTTGCTTTGTTTATGATAGCCATCCTGACCGGTGTAAGTGGTATCTCATTGTGGTTTTAATTTGCATCTCTCTGATGGCTAGAGATACTGAGCATCTCTTCATGTGTCTCTGGATCCTCTGTATGTCCTCCTTGGAGAAGTGTCTGTTCAAGTCCTTTTCCCATTTTTTAATTGGGTTAGTTGTCTTCTGAAAACATATTTGTTTTATCTTTATGTAAGAACAAAAGCCATCAAATTCAAATGAAAAATTATAAGTGATAAAATATAATTCGATTGAACATTTAAGTTCTTCTTTAGAGTAGGTATTTTACTAAAATGTTGGTAAAGTATTAAAAGTTCCAAATTCCTTACTGGTAAAATATTAAAATTTTTGAATTCCTTAATCATTTACTATTTCAACTTGACAATAGATTACTGTAACACACAATATTTGGAGACCATGTTCTCAGTCACAGATCAGATCTCCCATCTATACTGAAATGAGTTTAGCTCAGCCCCACATTGGCTTACTCAGGTTTCCTTTAATAACCTTCACCTAGAATATAGAGAGAGGTTTATAAATTTCCTACTTGCAAGAACTAATATCTGATTTTTTTTATTGCTGTCATCTATCATTGGTGTTCAGCTAATTTTGAGATGGCATAGTATTCCAGCCTGAGATAAAATTAATACTATTTAACTTCCCTTTTAAAAAGCGTATTTCAAACACATGCTGTTTTGTTTGTGATCATGTTCGTGTTCCATATGCATGAAGTCACCAAAAAAGAAAATAAAATATTTGATCTTCACAGAATTACAAGGTTAATTCATTTAATATAGTTGTTGAGTACCTACTGAGTTTTCTCATTCAAAAGTCATTGAAGATATTCACAGGAAAGAGGAAGCATTTGATCCAAGAAGAGACTGAACAAGAGCATTGCTAAATGGAGATGGAAACTGTCTACCTTTGCTTTGGCACCAGACTTGGAGGTGGAGTGCTAAGAAGCATGGGGCTGGCACAGGGGACCTCTTAACCAAGCCAAGGCAGCCCCATCTGCCTGACTTCACTTTGCTAAGATTATGTGGGTTCTTTTGGAGCCCAGGAAATGAGGATGGGGGTAAGCAGCCTCTGCTCGAGAAGATCCCGGCAAGGATCTCTCAGTGAGAAAATGGAAACCACTGGAGTTTATGCTTCTACTGAACTCTGAAATCACCTGTTACATGATTTAACAGGACCACAGTTACTGAGCACTTTTCCCCCCATCATTATCTAGTTTAAAATTTTACTAGCAAACAGTGTTAGAAACATAGAAGAAATTGATAGGATAAGGAAATTAAAACAAATGGTTTTATGTATTACATTTAAATGGTCATCTCAACTGATTAAGCACAGGTTTTCTGATCACAGGGTAGAGCTAAAAAACAGCCATACACACACACACACACACACACACACACACACAATACTGAATCATGTAGGGAACAAAGATTTACATATATGGCTGAAACTCCAGCCCTTTTTAGTAGTATTTTCTGAATTCTCTAGTCTCAGTAGAAAAGACTTTTCTCTTTTGGGGAAAGTTCCAAAGAGAAAAAGGGACTTGCTTTCTCACCACTTCAGCCACACTATTGGTGGAGTTGGAAGAAGAGATGTCGCAAGTCAGGGGAGTCTTTCCAGTAGCCAAAGGGTCTCCATAGAGACCTGTTTCTCTTATAGTCAGAGGAAGGGGTCTCAGCTAGATCCCTGAGGCCACCCAGCAGGCATGGTTGTATTATGCTGACCCAGGTGCTGGGACATCCTTTAGGTCCTAGTATCAGTAGCTGCAATGCTAATTCTTCTCTGGTAAGAATGCCCAGCCAGCCTTAGGCTGAGCTGTTGGGCAAACACTGTAACTGCACAGAAACTTCCTTTCTTTAGTATGACCTTTTCTCCTTGTTTTCTTTTTGATTCAAACTGATTTCATTTAGCAACCTGACTCACCTGCCTCCTTCTCTACCTTGAATGTCCACTCCCTTAATCATTGAGCCCTCAGAACAATGAGATTCTGGTTGGTATCAAGTAATCTTAGGAGCAGAGTTTTGGGTCTACTGACCATAGAGACAAGAGTTTTGGTCAAGCTAGAGATAACATCTAGGTCTCAGTTAGGTTTCAGCACCAGATCCAGAAAAGCAACCAAAACCAGACACAGTTGTACCATGGCGGCCATCAGGACCAGGAGTACTGATCAGCGATTCTCTATTCTAGCACTGACCAATCAATAGGGACTACAACCCTAACCCTGACCTTGACCCTGACTCTAACTCTCTTAGTCACCATGATTAATGATTTCCCCCCTATATAACCCATCCCCTTGAACAGGGGTGTCAAATTCATTTTCACCGGGGGGGCTACATCAGCCTCTCAGTTGCCTTCAAAAGGCCAAATATAATTTTAGGACTGTATAAATGTAACTACTCCTCAACAGTTAAGGGAGAGCTCAGTGCTGCCACTGGGTAGAAACAAGGTGGAGGGCAAGATTTGGCCCACGGGCCTTGTGCTTGCCACCTGTGCCCTAGAAGCCATCAGGGAGCCAGATCCTTGAGCATTAGCTCACCTGTGTCTCCAAGAGCAGACCAAAATAACTTCTAAAAATAAACTCTAAAACTTCCCAAAAATAAATCCTCACTTTCTTTGCTGCAGACTCTTGTCTGCATCTTACTGAGCTTTAATGTACTCAGGGACCCAGACCAGTTTAGTCCAGTAACAAAAGCAGCAGTCCTTTAGAGGAGGCAGTTAAAGCCAGTTACATCTTCCACTTCAAACATAACAAGACACCCAACTCGAATGGGTATGTTATTATTCAGTTGTATGTGTTTTGCATATAAAGCTTGTTGGTCTTAGCTACTTTAAGGGAGAGTCTTGTGACAAAAGAATAGAAGTTACTAACACAGTGGCTGCAGGTTAAGTCTTGACAATTTACACAAATGGCAGGGATCCGTATATCTATGTCAGAATAACACCATTATCCGAATAGTTTTTCACAGCATGGCCTCATAATTTTTAATTTTTTGTTGCACAATCTTTAGTATATATGAGATCATGCTACACCTTTGTCAATTCAGCCTAACTTATAAATGTATCTTCCTATGCAACATCATTGTAATCCTGGAAATAAGCACAATCTCTGTATATCATTATCATAAATCTTTGTTGTTCAATAAAATTTTGGCTTGGATTTTATCTCAAAAGCATTCATGCTGCTTATTACCCTAAGAATACTAATGAGTTGAGCATTATTTTCTATAATTCATTTGCATTTATTGAGTTTCTACAATTTTTCATAGGTATTCACCATAATTATCTTCATTAGCATCAAAGGCATTTTAAGTACTTAAATATACACATGGTATTATAAAAGTTGCTGTTATATGTATAATAAACAGACATAGGTCTTTTCTCAAAGATCTTAACCTTGAGACAAACAGTAATGGAACTCAAAGCCAGTTTAGGTAACAAGTTAGGAAACATAAATATAAAAGTTTGATGTAAAACAATGACAGTAGTACATGTGATCAGCTCTTGAACAAATTATGGTGTCATAAGATTTTCATATCATAAAATTGTATTATTTTAAGCCTATAAGTTTTCTTTGAGATCAAGGCCTTCTTCTCATGTTACCCATAAGGAAACTGAGCTGGAGGATCACTCAACTTATTCATGACAGTTTTGCCTCTGGAACACATCTCTCTTAAGCTCTGTATTATTTCTTTGCATTTGACTACTACAACGAGGGAAATTCTGTCATTTTCAGTTGGAGAGAGCTTTCTGGAAAAGAAATTTTGTTCTCTCTCCAAATCATTCACACCACAGGTATTGAGACACCCAATTATGAAGAAAAGAATACATTTTTAAAAGTCTTCAGTGTTCTGTACCTGCAAAGAAAATGGTAACTGATTATCTGCAAGTCACAAGCTTTAGACCGAGGCTTCTTTAGGTATTAATTTCCGCTGTAGTTATTTCTTTTTATTGCTGATTTGTGCATCTATCTAACTTTATGCTTTCTAATTTTCTGAGTTCTGCAAAATCTTTTTGGAACATATATTCCATTGTCCCAGGGACCTGGGTAGACAAATCCTTCCCTAAGGGCTTTTATTGGAAACCTCCAATAAAAACTAACATAATTAACTGTGGTCAGGCTTGTACTACTACTTACGGAATCCCGATAGAAGCTCACCTATTTGGGTGATAGGAGGGAAAATATACATGTGGTGGGTGGTAGGGGCAAGTGTTTTCTGTTTATTTTCCAGCCCCTCTTCATAGCTATGACAGCTCTGCTTTGTAAGTGTTCTTGACATGAAACCTAAAGCTCCTTTTCTTTTATTGCTGTGTGTCATTTGCTGTATTTTGCCTTACCATTGATGTTTCCTCTCAGACTCACAAAAAAAAAACTAAGCAAACAACTAGAACAGGGTCAGAATCAGAGAAATGGACATAATATGGAGGGATTTCAATGGGGAGGGGGAAGGGAGGAATAGGGGGCAAAGGTACAGGGAAGAAGAAGCATAATTAAGGAAACCAAGGACTTGTACAAGAACTTATATATACAAGTCATGGACATGAACTAAGTGGGGGGGAGAATGCTGGAGGGTTGGGTGGGGCAGGGCAGAGAGGGGATTAAGGAGGGAAAACTGCAATAGCATAATCAATAAAAATACTTCAAAAATAAAAAGAATCTAACCTTTCTTTGCAAAAAAAAATAATAAGAGTAATGAGTAGTTATGTATTATTCATCCTAAGTGTACTGATCATGCATTTATCTCAGGCTTTCTCTCTTTTTTTTCCCCTAGAGCTTGCACTCGACAACGCATACTGAGTGGATCATTTGAGGGGCAGCCAGCAAAGGAAAGGTCAATTCTCAGTGTGCAGCATCATATCCGCCAAGAGCGCAGGTAAATACACCAGGGGATGAGGCTACATAGAAACTAAGGAAAGGAGTTTTACAGGAAGGGTTCACTGTACACAGGCCTGGTTAGAAGCATGGGTTCTATTCCTTGATAGTAACAATAATAAAATTTACAATCATATCCAAAGATTCAAAAGATCTTTGAAAAATATTTTTTGGTGATGGCCAAATTCCCACTTCTAAAATCAGAAGGAAAATTTCTGAAAATCAAAGACATTTGGATAGACTACAGCTTTTTCTATAAAAAATATAAATAAGCTTATTTTATTTAAGAAAGTTTTTTTTTAAATAATCATCATTGCTTAAATCAAAATTTGGTCTTGAAATGTACATATTGACCAATTGGTTGTGGTTGTTTTAGATCACTAAGACATGGATCAAACAGCCAGAGGATCAGCAGGGGGAAATCTCTTGAAACTTTGACGCAAGATGTAAGTTCTAAGCGATGCTTTGGATTTCGGAAAAATGATTATGAAAATGTATTTAAATGACTGCTTACATGATTATAGCAACTGTCTTTCTGTCACATTGTCACCTTTCCTTAAGACTTTCTACCAGAGGAAATGAGGAGACCAGGTACAGAAAACTGATGGTTAACTTTGGAAAATTCTGGACATCCCACATGCCTTTCTTAAGATAGCAACACAAAAATGACATATTAGTTACACTTGACTGAAATTAAAGACATCCGAAGCATTTTATAGGAGTGATTCACATTACTAACTGTGAATATTTACTAAGTTTAAAATACTCTAGAATCTCAATTTACTGTCCATTATTTCAGGACTTTGCATAGTAGGAAATAAAATTTTATTTCTAAAAGAATATTTATGTCAAAACTGCAAAAGATTTTCCAATAATTTCTCTGCTTTTAGACTTCAGATCACTCATTTGTTTATTTACTGACCCAAATATATATCAAGCATTCATCATATGCCAGATTCTAAGTGGCGAGGACTAGTGGAGAAACAAGATATCATCTCTGCCCTGCAGGCACTTACAGTCTAGTAAGAGATGATAAGCAAATAAACAAATATATAATAATTTCTGAATGATTTTTATTCTTTTTTCATTGCTGTTATAGATTGACTCTGTAAAGAAAAATAAAATAATGTGAAGAAATGGAAGGTGGACATTTTGAGGCAGGGAATGTTAAAGGATGGTCAGGGTATGCTCCTCTACCTGAGCACAGAGCTCCAGATGAATAAAAGAGGGAACCATGTGAAAATCCCAGGGCACCCAAGGGGGCTTAGTTCTATCTTCCAGGTTAGACTCACCAGCAGCTCTACCATGCTGAGGTTACCATGAGAGGTGGAAAGTACATATTAAGTAATTGCCAGTAGTGAAAACTAGGTTGAAGTATAGGTCTTAAGTTGACTGGATAACTTGGATGAAAGAGCAGTCTTGAACATTCAGAGCCAAGGATAGTATTTGCAAAAAAAAGGTCAAGCAAGAGAAAGTTAGCAAAGTTTTACAGGTGTTTTTTTTTTTGTCTTTTACATCACTTACCTCTTCTTTCTTATGAGTTTCTGGAATAGTTCATCATACTTTATCTGCTTTCAAGAAACTGCTATCTTAGAGTAAACTCTCCTTACTAAGTGTTCCAGGTAAAATTGAGAATGGAAGACGTTGGTGATGAAAACAACCTAATATTGAGATTACCCAAGGTACATGGTTCTAATTAACAGAAACATATTCCCTAGATGAGTTTTTAAGCCGGAGGCTGTCTGATATGATCCACCATTTTGTTAACATGGAATTGTGATTGGATCTAATACATGGCCTGTGTACTTAGTATAATTTGTGCTCAGCCATAGTACATGGAGAAATTTGGGGGTAAAAATTCAGAGAGGCAGCACTAATTCAAAGGACTTTCCTTTAATGTAATTCAATAGAAGCACAATATAAATCAAAATCAAATTAGAACATGGCTTTGAAAATATGTTTAAATATATACAACAAAAGGCTCAATTTGAATTATTTCAATTCACAGGTTTATTTCTTCTTCAAAGATATTTTGTTATATTTTCAACATAGATTTTTAAGAAAAATCTGTCCCTATCTTCTCCATAGCAAATGGTCATGGAGGTTCTGCTAATTTTATGAGAAATCTTTCCTATTTCCTCCATAATAGAGGCAATTTAAAATAGAGAGTTTCATCTTTTTCACTTATTCCAAATGATAGAAGAGACAGATAATTCAATCTAGGGACTACTTTCTATAAAATTTATGAAGTTATTTGAATAATAGTTCTCTATCTCCCACAGAGTGAAAACCGGAGTGAATATCCTACATGATCTGCTCCCCCAACTCCCCCCACACACACTGGTCTGGCCACATTTTCTCTTACTCTGTTGCTTTCTCTCCACTTATACTGGCATTCTGACTATTCCGTGTGCAGATCCACTCACTACTCTGGAAGAACACATCTCTGCTAAAATCCAGTGGCCTGCATCCTCCTACTTTTTGCTCAAATAACTTCTTATTGAGGCCTGCTCCAACTTGTCTATTTAAACTCAGAGTCTTCTGGCACTTTTTATTCCCGTTTTTTTTTTTTTTTTACCACAGTGCTAAGCCTTTTCTAACATTTTGTTTATTTTGATTTAATTTTGGTCTATCTCCCCTGACTAGAATATTAGTCTCATAAAATCTAGGATCTTTTCAGAGATTTCTTTGTTTGCTTTTTTTCTTTTTCCTTTTGCCATATTGCCAGCACTAGAAAAGTGCCTGGCACATAATCGATTCTCAATATATGTTTTTATTGAGAAAAACCCTTTGGAGTTAAAAAAATACCCTTGTTAAGATGACTGTGACTGTTAAAATATATAGAAAATAAAAAGTACTTATTTTAATTAAAAAATGATCATTTGGGGGGCCTTCAAAAATATTAGTTATTTTGATTTGCCCCTTTTATTTATTTCTAGCATTCCAATACAGTAAGATATAGAAATGCACAAAGAGAAGACAGTGAAATAAAGATGATACAAGAAAAAAAGGAGCAAGCAGAAATGAAAAGGTACAGGGTACTATAGTGTTTCTTGGCTCTTGTTTTGGAACAGCAAACATTCCCTTAACCTTATTCATCTACAAATTTCCCCTTTCAGGAAAGTGCAAGAGGAGGAACTGCGAGAGAACCATCCATACTTTGATAAGCCACTGTTCATAGTAGGACGAGAACACAGGTTCAGAAACTTCTGCCGAGTGGTGGTCCGTGCTCGCTTCAATGCGTAAGTACACTCAATTTCAGCCAGGTGTTTGGCCTGACTCACACAAACAGCAGGGAAGGTTGTCATACCAGGAACAAGGAATGTGTAATCCTAATGGGGTCACAAAATAAACTGTGGGCTAATTAATCATGCTGCTCCTGTTTGCTAAGCAGCCAACCAGGCGGAAAACAAAGGTTGCAAATAGTTAACATTTATATAAAACTCATGTTTAGAAAACACTTAACAGCCATTTTTATTTGTTCATTTTTAACTGTCACTCAATAAATTTGTACCAGTGTTATTAACTCCATATTTGTTTTGGAAATACTGAAGCAAAGGGAGGCTGAATGACAAGGTGAAGGTCATTGAGCATGTCTATTTGACTTATAATTTCTTTGTGATCAAAAATATTCCAGCTGGTTTCTTCTTGAATAATGTAAAGTAGAAAGAAAGTTGGCTAGTGTTTTCATTACCAACTGTTATAAAAAGAAAAGCCACTTGCCAGTGACTCCATTTCTACCCAAAAGGAAGAAATGTGTGAGAAGCTGTCAGTGTAATCAACTGGGAGGATGCTGCATTTGTGATGACTCAAACCCATTTTAGTAGGCAGCTCACGGATGAAAGGGAATGTTTGTCACACATAACTTTAAGTGAATACCCTGAAGACATTAAGAGTCCTGGGAGAAGTACAGATGCTTTCTCATCTGTAATTGGACCTTCCCTGATGCTATTGTTTAAGTAAATTAATCTCCTTTGTAATCAATAACATTTGATATTTACTCTCTCTTCTGAGCTGAATTGTGTGTCTCCCCAAAATATTCATATGTTGAAGTGCTAACCCCCAGTTCCTCAGAATGTAACTGAGATAGGGACTTTAAAGAATTAACTAAATTAAGATGGGGTCATTAGAATGACCTTTAATTCAGTATGCCTGGTGTCCTTATAAAAAGAGGAAGACTACGTGAAGACACAGGGAGAAGATGACCATGCACAAGCCAAGGAAAGAGAGGCCTGAGACATATTCTCCAAGCTGTCAGAAAGAACCTACTGACACCTTCATTTTGAACTTCTAGCCTCCAGAATTGAGAGAAAATAAGTTTCTGTTGTGTAAGCCACTCAGTCTGTGGTACTTTGTTATAGCAGCCATCTGAAACCAATACATTACAATAACATTTTAGGACTGGAGAAGACCTCAGCAGTCATTTGATAACATTTTATCCCCCCTTCTTCAACAGAGGAGGGCATTTAGGTCAGCAGAGGATAAGAGCTTTGCTCAAGGACACCAGCTAGTTAGTGCATGGCTCTCTCTGACTGCCAGTCCATTGTTCTTTCTGCTGTTCTAGGAAGACCTTCATAGTTTCAAGCAGCTGAGTAATAATCATTAAAAATTTCCTGAATTTCCACAAAGTAAAGGAAGAAGTTGACAATTTAGAGTTTATTTTCAGTTCCAAAGTGTTTTTTTTTCTGAAATTATCCTGGTGGCTGCCTTCATGTTAATATCTGATTATTAATTCTCCACTTCATTTAGTGTGGTGTGATTCTCCTTGTCAGCAATGCAACTGATATGGACTGACGATGACTTTGTTGTCATTGGGAATACCTGTACAAACACCATTTGGGGTGTCACTGAAGACTGGTTCCCTGAAACTGAAAATTAGAAATCCCCTCCCCAAGAAATTCTATATACATTACTCCACAATATCATACTTAAATACAGGGTAAAGGACTCTATTGAATGTATTGATATTTAATTAACTAATTGTGAGGAACACCTTCAAGCTACTAAGGCAAAGATCTTTAACTGAGTTCTTTAAAGGAAAGTCAAAATTTAGTTTTGCAATATCCATGTCAGAAATTGTTGAATGTACTCTTCAATTCTAAAATATTTTGAGAAATATAAAACTTTACTTTCATAAATATCAGCTACAAGCTCTTCTAATTTTTTTCATTTAATATTCTCTGTCTTTCAAAGTCACATATACTTAACATATATTATAATGTATATTGGAAAGAGAGTAAAAAAGAGATTTTATGCTGCAAAGTTATAAAGCCCGCACTATGATTTTATGTTAATTCTATCTTACAGATCTAAAACAGATCCTGTCACTGGAGCTGTGAAAAGTACGAAGTACCATCAACTTTAGTAAGCTTTACAAGCTGTTTTCCATATACATTTGAATTTTCTGTGTACTATTTCATGTTGCATAAAAATTCCCTTTGTTTTCTTGCTATTTGTTCTATGAAAAAATACCATTCACATTATTGGAATCACAGAGGCATCTTCTCTGCCCTTTAACAGGCTTTACTGGAGGCTTTTTTGGTAGTGTTTCTCAGTTTTGTTTGGTCTTGGCAGTGATTTGTTGGGACTGGTGACTTATCTGGACTGGGTCATGATCATCGTAACCATCTGCTCCTGTATTTCCATGATGTTTGAATCCCCCTTCCGAAGAGTCATGCATGCACCTACACTGCAGGTATGGCTGCTGAATCTCAGCTCACAGCTCCTAAGAAAAACAATTACCTGCAATTTTTTCATTCATTGTGATCAAACTGCCTTTTGCTTATTTTAGATTGCTGAGTATGTATTTGTGATATTCATGAGCATTGAGCTTAATCTGAAGATTATGGCAGATGGCTTATTTTTTACTCCAACTGCTGTCATCAGGGACTTTGGTGGAGTAATGGACATATTTATATATCTTGTAAGTCTTTGATTATTTTGTAAATATTTTATAAATATTATTGATTATATGTAAAATGTAATAGATTTGTAAAATCTGCTTTTCTTAATATGAGTGAGATATGTAAGTTAAAAAGGTTGGGATGCCAAAACTGTTTCTTGGGTAATGTAAGTCCATTATAGTTAAATAAGAGGCATGCATTAAAAAATCTAAATGTCTATTGTTATGGTTGAAATACATCATCCACTTTCATGCAAACATAGACATACCTTAATAAGGTCTAAGATAGCAAATCTAGTTTGCCCCCACAATTCTTATGGCTCCTAAACTAAAAAAAACAAACAAACAAACCTATATTATATAACTGATTGATGAGCCCCTTACTGCCAAAAGCAAACTAAAATGAGTGTTGTTGGACCTTTCTTCCAATTCTAAGGCACAAAGTATCCAGCTAGGAAAGACCATTCAACTGTTTGGTTAAACTAATTTGGTAAACCATAAGAAGTGACCAAAGATATTTCATTTTTTCTCTTATGCCCAAAAAGGCGTAAAGCCAATGCCCTTTTCAACACAGCAAGGAGAACTGTGATTGTCAACTGTAGCATGTTTAGATCATTAATAAAATAGTGAGTGTCAGGGTCAAGCATGAAGTTTAGTATCTTTTATCAAAAGAATATCAATCCTGTTGACAATAGTGGAGCCTGCAATATGTCAGTTAAGAGAAGGGGCAGAGTGCATTAATGTACATAGATGGTGGACACCCCTATCTCATTCTTGCTTATACCTGATGATTTTTCACTGAGGATGCTTAGGTCTAGATCGGGTTCATAGTTTAGAGTTAAGAGACCATGTATTCACCTGGTGATGGCTTGTCTCACATAACACATGGAGTCTCTGCTAAAGCAAAGTTGTGGTTGCTTGGCTCTCAAAAAATATATATAGTAGAGGATAAATTATATAAACTTCAGAGATGATTATTTTACTTCTAGGTGAGCTTGATATTTCTTTGTTGGATGCCTCAAAATGTGCCTGCGGAATCAGGAGCTCAGCTCCTCATGGTGCTTCGGTGCCTTAGACCTTTGCGGATATTCAAACTGGTGCCACAGATGAGGAAAGTTGTTCGAGAGCTTTTCAGTGGCTTCAAGGAAATTTTTTTGGTATGTTGCAGTTACCTTTGCTTTCAGTGTCCATTCCACTCCTTTATGTAGCTAAAGTGAGGATAAAGTAAATCTTGCTTGTAAAGGTTAAGTGTACAATTTTGGTTTTTGAAACTAACAAAGCACAATACACATTTTGCAACCTTACCCCTAAATGCCTCCACCTTATTAGTATATTTAATTCAACAAATATTTTTTTCTTAAACTAAAGAGAAGCACTCTGAAAATGATAATGAAAGGAGAATACAAAGACCTAGTATCTGCTGATACTTTCATTCTTAACTCTTGACCATAATTTCTTTCTAGGTTATAGTTTTCTAATCTGAAAATTAAGGATAAGAAAATTCAACACCACCTACTTCACAAATAATATTAGGAATTAACACATTTGGGTTTGTAATCTCATTCGATATGTCCCTTAAAGCATATAGCAACAGAATTTGTCTCTGATCTTTAGCATGTTAATATAAAACAAGCTAAAAGAAGGAACATACAAATGTACCCTACTTTGAGTAATCTAAATGTACCCTACTTTAAGTAATCTAAATGCACAGTAATGAATACTTCTAAATGTAATAGAAGGGAAAAACATTCATGTTAGTTCAGCAAACATTGATTTAGGGTCTGCTAAGAGCAGGGTTGCAGATAAAATGTTAAGTAAGAGGTGCATTGTTCACAATCTGTTACATAAGGATCTTTGCCTTACAGAGGAGTGATCAAAGTGTTCTTTTATTACTGATGAGTTCTGCTTATGCATGAAAAACATGAATTAATTTACATAAGCCTATTTATATCTTGCTTTCTAGAAACACACCTATGGTAAGAGAATAGCTGCAGTTGTAGTTGATTGTAAGGTATTACAATAACCTGTAAGACAGGTTGGAATATTACTATAGGCATAGAGTGGCTAACATCTGTTTAAAGATGAGTTTTAAATTACATGTTTTCTTTGCAATAAAGCCATAAAATGGTGGCTTCTACACAGCTAGAATTGAAGGAAAGTAGAATATCACCTGAATGCTAATGTACATGTATCTTTGACCCTTGATAGATTTTAGAAAAGAATCTATTTGTGCCTTTCCCCTGATCATGTTTTTGTGTAATTTTAGTACATTTAAAGTATATTTTAGATTAGTCAGCCAGTACAGATCAATGGTCATGTTCAGTATTTCTTTGCTACTTTTCTCTGAGGAGACCAAAGTGGTCCTCCAGCAGAGGGAGGATGAGTCAATGGACAGATTTGCTTTCTTTAAGACTGACCTCTAATCCTCTGTGAGGTCAGTATGCCCTCATGCTCATGAGAAAGCAAAGCCATGATTTTATGCTTCCCTCTCCCTCTAATTTATGCTTTGCTAATAGAGAAATAAATCCATTTTAAAGAAAATGGGGAAAATATAATTATTTAAACATTTTTCTTTTGTTCCATTTAATAAAATAGATCAAAGGGTTGACTTCAAAGTCAGAAGAATCTGTCATATCAAAAATGCCATAGCCCATTTTTTCACATAAAAGTCATATGTTTCTATTTTAAAAATTCAAAATTTGTTAATTTTCATCTTTTAACACTCCAATAAGGCTAATTGAATGACCTGTGGTGAAATTAAATGATATCATCAAAAGATCACAAATTTTATACAGTATTATCAAAAAGTCCTGTTCATACTGCTGTTCAAACCATACCTTCTATTTAATGTTTTACCAAGAGATCTGATATCTCATCAATTTCTTGCAGGTCTCCATTCTTTTGCTGACATTAATGCTTGTTTTTGCAAGCTTTGGAGTTCAGCTTTTTGCTGGAAAACTTGCAAAGTGCAATGATCCCAACATTATTAGAAGGGTAAGATACTCCTTTCTGCCTTTTGGAATAAAAATTAAGGTAGTTTACCTCCCCTTAATAAGCATGTGCTGAGACAACATTGAGAACTGCCTGGCAAAATGCTTAAGAATTCTCTTCCCATGAACTTCTCTTGCTTAAAGCATGCATCATGTCTCTTCTGGCTAACAAAGCTTTATAAGATTAAAAGTACACCTCAGGGACTTCTACTCTTCCTTCCTATTCCAGTCTCAATCTACCGTTGACATCTTCTGCAGAGTTACCCAAGATTCCAGATCTTGAACCTCAGACACTTTGCCTTTGAGTTTTCCCACATTTAATCCTGCCTCTCTTGTCCACAAACAGCACCCACCCCCAAAAGAACAAAAGTTAAAGTTTGACTTTCACACCACTTTATAATACTTCTCCACTCCAGCATTCTCTCCGTTAGGAAGTCAAGGCCTTGCATTAGCTCTTGGCTGCCCAGAATTTTCCCCATTAAGACAACTAACAAAGACCCAAGCCTGAATATCTTTGCTACTAATTTTTCCTTTAGTCAGTGTCAGTAAGAGAAAGTGAGCTACTGGAACAACTCCAATATTTCAGTAGCTGAACATAATGAAATGAATATATTGCATCTTGGGTAAGTTGGACAGATCTCCAAATAACCTCTCAGGCACTCAAGTTTCTTCCATTTTATGTCCCCACCCTTTGCTGTTTCAAAGTCTTCTTTGTTTAGCTGGCCCATAAGAACATAGAATTATCTCTATCTGAGGGGGCTGTGGCTGAGCTTAGAAGCAGCACACCTCACTACAACCCACATTCTACTGGGAAGAGCATGGCCCCACCAGACTGGAAGAGAAACTGCAATATGTAGTTTAGTGAAGGAGTTTAGTGAAGAAGTGTAGTTTAGATTCTAGGAGGAAAAAGGGACCGAGTTTGGTTAATAATTGCCAACCTCTGCTATGCTATCCAGTGTTCCATTTTTTAAAGATTCTCTCCTATATTACAAATAGACTAAATGAAGTAAACCAAGTACTGCTGATGTATTAACTAGCAAAAGTATTTCCTCATTCATAGAGATGATATAATGCACTGAGTCCATTAAAATGCATGTTTTTGAAAGGATTAAGACTTCTTTGCAACAACATGGATGGAACTGGAAAGCATTATGCTGAGTGAAATAGGCCAGGTGCTGAAAGACAAATACCATATGATCTCACCTTTAACAGGAAGCTAAACAACAAAACAAACAAGCAAGCAGAAAAAAAAAAAAACAAAGACACTGAAATAGAGAACAAGGGGATAGTGACCAGAAGGGAGAAGGAAGGGAATTTAAGGGGAAAAAGGGGGAGGGATTTGGAGGAACAAATAGGAAGGACACAGGGATGAGAACTAAGGGGGGTGGAAATGGGAGGGAGGTGGGGAGCAAGGGGCGGGGGAGGCTGGGATGGGAGAAATAGACAAAAAACTGTACTCGAAAAATAACTAAATAAAATTTAAAAAAATAAAAAAGACTTCAACTACAATACATATTCCCATGTTTCAAGTAACTATGGCTATCTAATATAGATTTTATATCAATTTGAAATTTTCTACATTTTCAGGCTTCTAATTATAAAAACTATTAACTCTCTAATTATTTTGTGATAACATCTTTGTGCAGTAAATATGCATTACCAATTGTATTCATAATGAAGATTTCAGAAAGTGACAGAAGAGATGTATGTAAGTAGGGCAGACCTTATGTTGTTTGACAAGGCACACCTAAGTCATTACTTCCTTTAACTTCTCTCCCCAGAGGAACTTCGATAAACCTTGAGAAGACATAACAAGGAACATCATATAAAGTTCATGATGTACCAAAATAGCTAATGAAGGAAGTCATATGGAACTGATTAGTCCACAGCTAACATAAGGAAAGAAGGGTTATTTAAATTCACATTCAAAAGAGACCAGAAAGATAACAACAACATTTTAGGATGAAGCCTAGTAGGAATCCTGATGACTCAATATATTAATAATGGCCTAAGAACATTGTGATTTTATGTTATCTACTCATCTCCAGCCCAAGCTAAAGATTGATGACTTGGATAAGAGACAGAGAGCACAGTGGATTGACAAACACACAGATGCTTTTATCACAGAGCAATGAGGCCTCACTGGTAGGCTCATAAAGAAAGCCTAAGAAAACTTAGCCATCACAGAAAGCATCAGCATGAGGCAGAAACTGGCATAGTGAAATGTGGTCCGTGTCTTTACTAGAAAAAAACTAGTCCTAATATAGAAGGCCAAGGTCAAAAAGACCATGTGAAGGAAGGAAACATCAGGTCTACCTCTGAACTTTAGTCCATCTTTCCAAAAGAAGAGACAAAGGGGAAAGAGGAAACTAAATACCCCAACATTTGGGTTGCACTGTTTAATGTTTAAAGATAACAAAGCTTAAAATGTCGGCACCATGTTGTCCAAGTAGGAGAATACATTATTTTCTTGATGTCTGCCTACTTCCTCCTTCTGTTTCTTTTCTTAAAACTTGACAGCCCAAATCCTGAGATCACTTTAGATAAAGATATGGAGCCCATAAGTTAGCCACTACAGCCTTGTAAAAAAAATCCTTGATTATACTTTTTGACAAATAGTTATCAAATATCAGTTATGTACAAAGCACCATGATTGGTAAAATGAGGGCTGGGAAAATTTTTGTATAAGTCACTGGCAGCATTTTCTGTCTAATTAGAATGTATATTCCGTGTTTAAGTAACTGTAATGTCAAGTCAGAATTTAAAGGATTACATGAGAATTCAAAGTATGTTCAATCTCTCAAGTACGGGAAATAGTGCCTTCACCTGGGGGTGCTAGGCTGAAGGCGTTCATGAGGTGAGAGGATTCTAGCAGGAAAGAGCCTTCCAAGCAAAGCAAGTAGAATTGAAAAAGTAGGTATGGTGTCTTGTTCTGATCACTCAACGCTCGGGAACCTATTTGCTCCTCTATAGCACTTCTCACACAATTATATTATAGTTTAAACTAGTTTATTTAGTTAAAGAGCCTAATCCAACCTTCAATAGTATGTGTCAAACTTCACTTTCCTCCTATGTCAAAATAAACTGAAAAACAAGGCCAGAAATGTAGTTTAGGAAGAGATCCTCAGGGTCCTAGAATGGCAGTCTAAGGGAGTTGGAATTTCTTTGATGAGAAATTAGAAGTCATTGAAGATTTATAGGAAGAGGAAGCAGACACTTATTGGTGCTCACAAAGTACAAGAATTGTCCCAAGAATTACTATTGTTAAGCACATTCTACTGAGGCGTTCAGTGACTTGTCCAAAGTCACTTTCCAATAAGTGGGGAAGCTGAGATTCATGTCCAGGAAGCCAGATTAAAAGTCCACACTTTTAACTTGGACACCAGGCTGCCTCACCCAATCAAAGGTGCTCTTTGGCAGACTCAGAAAAACAAATAGGAAGAGGCAGTAAGACAAATTTCATTATGGGGCCTTGATATGCTATACCATAGAATAGCCATTTCAAATAAAGTTGTAGATGAGTATGTAGAAGAACATAACTGGTATATATTTTAACTTTAAAAATGAGCTATGAAAGAATAAAAACTGCACAAACTTATATACGCATAGGAAAAAGGCTGAAAGAATATACAGCAAAACGTGAATTATGGTTGTCTTTGGATAGTTGTAAGTTTATCTATGCTTTACAAGTTAAACATATTATTTGAGTAAGGTTTTTATTTAAAAGAATTTTATTGGTAATCTAAACAGGTTTAATGTTGGTATTAAACTAGTTGAAATAAGAATAGAGGCATAGACCACTTGAATAAGGAAAAGCCACAAACAACTCTAAGATCTTGATATTGGAGTGTTGACAAGATGTTGGTCCACAGACAGAAGTAGGGAAGCCAGGATGATACATGTTTTAAGGTTGAAGGTGACTTTAAACAGGTTAAAATTTGAAGTTCTGTTGAAATATTCTAATGTATACACCTTGAACCTTGGAAGGTGATTTAGGTTTAAATATGACAATCGTATAATCAAAGAAGCAATAATAACAGGAAAAAGAATAAAAACAGATAATGAATCAAAAACTTTTTACTAATGTTTTTTAATCTATTTTAAATAGTTATATTGAGATATACTTCCTACAATTCACCCACTTACAGTGTACAATTTGGTGGTTTTTAACATATTTAGAGTTTTACAACCATCACCACAGTGAATTTTAGAATATTTTTTATCATTTCATAAAGAAACACTGTGTCTTTTAACTGTCACTCCTTAGAACTTTATTCCCCTGACATGTCTATCCCTAAAAACTATTGATTACATTATGTGTCTATACAGTTCCCTATATTTGACTTTTATATAAATGGAATCATGTAATATGTAGTCTTTGGTAGCTAGCTTTCTAAACTTAGCATAATATTTTCAAGGTTCATTCATGTTGTAGCACATCTCAATATTTCATTTCTTTCTATGGCTGAAAAATATTCAGTTGTGTGGGTGTATCATATTTTATTTATGTATTTGTCTGTTGATGAACATGTGGATTTTTTCACATTTTTACTGTTATAAATAATGCCAAATATAATAATAGTGATATAAACATTCATGTATAAGTTTCTGCATGTACGTTTTCTTTTCATTTCTCTTGAGTAGGAGTAGAAGTTTTAGGTCTTATGGTAACTCTTTGGTCATTTGAGAAACTGCCACACTATTTTCTAATGTAGCTACACCATATTTTATTCCCACCAGGAGTATATGTGAGTTCTGGTATGAATATTCAATTAAGCAAATCCTCATCAAAGCTTGTCGTTAGTTTTTTTATTATATGAGGAGGTACCCCCCCAAATGAAATTATTTATAAAAATTGTTATTTATTCTTGCATGTTTGAACTTCAGACACCTTCAAAATACTCTCCGTTTGATGCAATACACCTATCAAAACATTTTTTCCACTGCTCAAAACAGTTTTTGAACTCATCAATTTTGAAGTTGAACTCGTTGACTCAAAACTGCTGAACACTCACTGCAGTGTGGGCAAGTGTGCTTCTAAATCACCCATCGTGAAATGGTCAAATGTGCTGGGTCTTCACAAAAATTTCACTGAAGCCAAACACAACCTCTCACAACAATGCCAGCTGGTATACTAATATAGATGAGTTCCAGAACACTCAACTAGTGAGGGAATCCTGTACTACAAGGATCTTACCCTCCAGAAGATAATTCCCAGTTTTGGGGGGAGTACCTCCTTGTAGCCTTCTCAGCAGGTATTAGTGGTATCCCATTGTGGTTTTGATTTTCATTTCCCTGGTGACTAATAATGTTGAGCGTCTTTTTAAATGTTCATTGACCATTTATATATTTTCCTTGGAGGAATTTCTATTCAAATCTTTTGCCCTCTTGCTAATGTTTTCAGCATCAACTTCTACCACTCATCTCTGCAATCTTTGTTACTACTTGCTGGTTAGTTGTCCACATCACTGTTGTCAAATAAAGACCTTTATTATTCTATGTAAAATATGTTTCTTATCTTTTATCTTTTCTGAGTTCACTTTCTTACCAGGTTCCTTCCCCCACCTCTCTCTTTCTATTTTAGGAAGACTGCAATGGCATATTCAGAATTAATGTAAGTGTGTCCAAGAACCTAAATCTTAAATTAAGACCTGGAGAGAAAAAACCTGGATTTTGGGTGCCCCGTGTTTGGTAAGATATCAGGGGAAAAATTGCTAGCAATGCTATATTTGTCAATATAAGGTTCTAAATCATTATAACATGGCATGAAACTAACAATAACTCTGATAGGGATTTAAAGTAATTTTCAGGCAAAACACTGAGTTATGACAAGATGCAAAAATATAGTAAATATGAAAGCAAGTGGTACACTGAGTTCCAATTTCTTCATGAAACTAATGAAATACCACTGAAGTATTTTTCTAATTCTTTAAAAGTTTATATCTGGGTTTACATAGCTTTAAAAATTAGTAAGATTAAAATTATTTTATTCAATCAGATTTTTAATCACATTTTAACTTAAATTTTTTAATTAATTTAATTTTTTTAATTTTAATTAAATTAAAACTAAACTCATCATGAGTTTATACTTTAAAGGAGGGTCTGATGTCCTCACAATAGTTATAGAGAAGCCTACCTAAATCAAAAAGCTATTTCAATTTTAAAACCCATTGACATAGATTTTCATTACTGAAACATTAGAAAGGAATAATCAGTAACACAACCAATTATATCTGACTCTCTCTTTAAAAATTTTCTTTATCGAAAATTAGTTTTCAAAGTTTTCAGGTCAAAGCTGGAAGTATCTGTTACCTCCTTTCTCTTCTGTTTTACTAAAGACCATGAATGGAATATTTCAGTCTGCCTCACTGATGAACCGGAAGCTCTACCAACCGCATTTGTCCTTTCAAATCATTACCTCTCTTTTTATTTCATTTTACCTGTTAGAATAATGAGGGAACCACAGCAACTACTCTGCTTTTGTTACAATTGATATTCTCTACTAAATGTCAACTCTTTAAAGGAAATAACATTTCACCCATTTATACCCCAAGGACTCATTGTTACTGCTTTGACATTTCTCTAAAAATTAAAGTCGGTTTTATAAACAATTCAATACAATTCATATTGCATTTTATTTTCTTAAATACCAAAGAATTATGAAGAAGTAAATTGATTTCAGAAGTGTGGTTTCTTCCAAGGTAAAGAAGTATATATACAACACATGGGACTATCCTTATCCCTGTACTAACTAGAATCTCAGTCTCTCTTTTACATTAAAATAAAAAATTAAAGATGCATAAAACATTTATTTTTTGTGAGGTAAAAACTCATTATTATACCATAAATAATTAAATTAGTACATCATGTGAGATTTCTTTTCCTACTGTTTTAGAATTTTGTCTAAAGCCTCAAAACTAAGGTTAATAGAAGATAAAGTACTCTAAAGAGAGCCACTATGCAATCCCAGCAGAACTTACCAAAAAATTATCCACCTCCCTCACCCAGGTCATGCAAAAGAAACCACTATACTCAAATATAACATCATGAAGTGCATAAACTTGGTGAAGAGTGCTATGGCATCTTTCCTCCCTTTATTGTGGAAAAATGTGCTTCCCACCCTAGCCAAGTAAGGTCCCCCAGGAAGACTAGTTGCTGGTATCAAAGATTGGAAAGGCAACAAGAGAAGCTTTTGTGGGCAAGCAGCTCTTTATTATCTTGCAGTACAGGGTTATCTGATGTTCCCAGAGGGTCAAGTTGTCATTGCCCAGGACCATCTGATTGAGCCATCTTGATGCAAAGAACTGCTGCAAAGTGCGCCGTGCTGGAGAGCGGGTGCCCCTGTGGGTATGTTTCCAAGAGTGGGTGCTGAGAATCACTTGCAGACTATACTCACAGAAGGAATGGCACAATGGGGCATCCTCACTCAGGACAGTGCTTTAAAATATAGTGTGTTGGCCTGGCTGGTGGAGCTCAGTGGATTGAGCGTGAGCCTGTGAACCACACAATCTCAGTTCAATTCCCAGGCAGGGCACATGCCTGGGTGGCAGGCCAGTTCCCAGCAGGGGACCCATGAAAGGCAACCACACATTGATATTTCTCTCCCTGTCTCCTCCCCTTACCCTCTAAAAATAAATAAATAAAATATTTAAAAAATATACAGTGTGTTAATGGAAACTTGAGGTATAGTGGGTCCAACAGCTCAAGAGACAGTTGCCATTGATAACATAGCTTGCTGCTCATAGTTCCCAAGAGCATTTGTTCCCTTCCATTGAAAGGAAGGAAGGTGAGGCATGGCAATTGGGTTTAGCTGGTTTGATCATTTTAGTGGGCTCTGGAACAGAGAGGCTGCCCTCATGATTTGGCACCTGGCTCTGGAGTGATTAGGGAAGCTATAAAGTGGCCTGGAATATCAATGCCTAATAAGAGAGATGGTTGAGAGGATGGACTCTTGGCTGACTGTTTTGCATTGGAAAAGCACACCCTGAAAAGGATTCCTCCCAAGGTTGGGAAGAGAGTGATAAGGGAAGCAAGAGGTCAAGGCAGGGTCTCTGCGGCATATATGTATGTAGGACAGATGATATAAGGTATCAAGTTTATAGAAGCTAGAAACATGATTAATATATGGAATGTTTCTTAGGAACACACAAATGCACTCCACAAAGAGGAACAGCTGCTGTGACAAAAGCACCAATGGCCAGAGGACTGTAACTCCATTTTTATAACTTCAGCCTCTTAAAAACCAGATGGGAGCCTGAAAGGGAGTGGAACAGAGTAGCCAACACTCTTCCTCCCTTTTCAAACCACTGGTCACACTGAACTTCTGAGGATCAGATCTTTGTTCAGGGTTCTGATAACCAAGGTTGGATGGAAAACGGAGTTAATTTTTGGAATGAGACTGATCTAAAAGCTTTGGAATCTCCACAGTATATCAGGAACTAGGACATAGTAGAAGGGAGTGTTGGGAGAAAAGTGAAGTTTTTTCCAGTTTAAATAATAATATTCAACTTATTTCATAAAACCAGCTACCTGTAATTTTAAATATCACAGTTGATTGAAATGTAATGTCTTATGTAAGTTATTAGGAGTTTCAAATTCATGACACTTTAAAAGTTTAAGTGAATGAAGAAGTATCATTTGAACATCATCACAATAGCTTTTGTCCATTTGTTCAGACAATTATGAATTGAATTAATTTTATTGAAATTTAAATCTTCCATCCAATAAATGGAATTGCTTTCTTTGTCCTTCTTTAGTAGGCTTGTCAAGAGTTAGGAGGCAAAAATTTTGTAATAATTTTATATTGGCTAATTTATGATAAAGAAAATAACATATCCAGAAATTGGCCTAGAGGAATGATTTGATAATTATAATCAGGATATAAATATGCACTGTCTAATTCAGGAGACAGTCTGGTTTCTGCATTTTCTCTTCAAATTGCATATGTTCATTTTCTTTGGAATCTTTCAGATTTGATGAGATAAAAATCAGGTTGGTTAAAATAATTAAACATGTTATATATTATAAAAATTGTGTGTTTTGTTTTAAGCAGAAGTCTTACATATAGGATGTAATTTATGAGAAAAAAATCAATAAAGTACTCAGTTTTTTGTATCTTTTTATTATTTTAATATATTTTATTAATTATGCCATTACAGTTGTTCTATTTTCCCCCTTCATTCCCCTCCACCCTGCACACCCCCTCCCCCACCATTCCCCCCCTGTAGTTTATGACCATGTGTCTCAAGTTCTTTAGATTCTATATTTCCCATACTATTCTTGCCCTCCCCCTATCTATTTTCTACCTACCATCTATGCTACTTATTTTCTGTACCTTCTCCCCCCTTCTCCTTCTCCCACTCCCGTGTTGCTAACCCTCCATGTGATCTTCATTTCTGTGTTTCTGCTCCTGATCTAGCTGTCCTCTTAGTTTGCTTTTGTTTTAGGTGTGGTTCTTAATAACTGTGAATTTTCTGTCCTTTCACTGTTCATCTTTTTTATCTCAGTTTTATAATAAGTGTATTTATTAAGTGCCTACTAATCACTAGGTATTATGCTGTCACTTGGGACAACGATGGCCCTGGACTACAAAGAGGTTGAAGTCTAGTGGAGAACATAAAATAAAATTACAAATAATTTATTATAATATGTTGGTGGCTTTGTTTATACATAAATAAGCCTCTAAACTCATTTGAAGTTCACCTGAAAGCTTACCCCTAGGTAATTTTACCATGATATAATTTAGGCAGATGAGTAAAATTTTTGCAGGACCTACATAGTAAGTGGTAAACAATTTGGGTACACTCTTTATGTTAAGACAAATAACATAAATTTACCTTACTTTTGTAAGTTTAACAAAAATATAGGAACACGTGAACTCACTGCTGGGCCCCTTCCAGAATCTTGGAAGGTATCCGCCCAGGGAAGGGCCTGATATGTAAGTTTCTGCAGCCAGGGTAGGGTACAGTAGGCAAACAGTTCAGTGACACACACAGGAGAGGCACCTAACTCAACTAATGACACAACCAGGGCACAGAACCCAGAGCAGAAGACACTCAGTTAACTTTCAAAGGTTGAATAAGAATTAGGCAGCTGAAAGAAGAAGAAGTCATGAGCAGGTAAATCCACAATGCTAGGCAGAGATAAGGTTGCAAACTGAGGAAACTCAAATTCCTATTGCAAAAGTTCATGACAAATATATATATATTTGGGTACATATCTGCCTGATCTGTGAGTCTGTTAAAGAAATATGTTAATATATTTCATCATAAGTGTGAGTACATATATATATATATGTACTCACATATATATGTATATATATATATAAGTATGTGTATATGTATATCAGTGTATTCTAGAAAGTACAAAAGGGTTCTGATTTATTTAGACTAGATCATGGAGATGTAAGATATAAAGGGCCATTTCAGATAATGTCATTCCCTGTATTTTCACATCCAACGGTAGAGGCTAAATTCCTTTCCTCCTTAGTGCCTCCATCTTCCAAAAGAAGTTGCAATTTTCTTTGTCATGATCTTGGGAAGCTTGGAGTACTTTTCCTTGGGAAGTAAAAGACTGAACAAATTGCAAGGTCAGAAGCTATGCCTTAGTTTTCTGAATTAGATAGACAAGATTATAATCTTTTAAAAGTTAACCAGAAAAGATGATATTCAAATAGCCTTCCAAATCACAAAGAGCTACTGGTAAGATGTCAGTAATGGATTATGTCTAGGAGTCATTGAAGTTCTCGGTGGTTGTAGGCAAAGTTTTAAACTTTCCAATTTTAGGTGCATGAATAAAGCATAAACAAACATTTTATATGATTAAAGCCGAGACATATTTATTTTTTAAATGTGATATATTCTTCCAGCTGTTTAAGTCCATGATGCTCTATTTTAGTTTTCCTGGTTTAGTCTAAAAGTATATACTTTTATACTTAAGTATATACATAGCTTAAGTAAGCTATGCCTAAATGTAGTTTGGGTTGCTACAAATTCAGCTTTTAAAGAAAGAAACTTTATATAAAGATAATGGTCAGGGAAGAGAAGTTCAACATCAGATCTGAGAGCTGGCTCAGTTGGTTAAAAAAACCCTTTTTCAAGAAAATGGTGGCATCTGTAGAATCCTTATAGTTTCTGTATGCTGTAAAATATATTAAATTTAATTGTAACTTTCAAAGAAAAAGTTATTGGAAACACCCAAGATAATATAATTCTAATATCATACTTAGAATATAAATCAGAACTCTAAAATATGAATTACTGAGTAGGGCTTTTGCACTATGTAGAAAACATTTTGACCAAATAATCTTATACCTTTAGGAGCAAGTCAATTTCAGTTTCAGTTTTTTTCTTAGTAGATCCTATTTAGTATTTAGTATTTAGAACATATTTAGTATTTAAAAAAGAAAGCTTATACAGATACATCCTATGATTAGTCTGTGGTTTAGAAAACATAAAAGATGGTAGAAAAATACTAAACCAGATTACCCCCACATGAGTTATCTTTTATGAAGGTTAAATTTTAATAAATGAGCTATTAGGAGAAAAAAGGGCAAGGGAGGGGGGACACAAAAAGAAAAAAAAAAAAAACAAACCAAAAGATTCCGTTCGGAGAAAAAAATCTCCCAGGGGCGGGGGCGGGGCGGGGGGCAGGCTCGGGGGGCCGAGCCGCGGGCGGGAGCGCGAGCACCGCCGCCGAGGCGCGCGGGGGGAGCGCGCGGTGGGGGGCGCCGCGGCGAGGGGGGGAGGGCGGCCAGCGGCCACCGGCGGGCCGCGGGGCGCGCACGGCCGCCCCACACCCCGCAAACAGCCACCCCGCCCGCGCGCGGGCCGTGAGAAGCGGCAGAGGGGGTCGCCATTTCCCCGCTACCGGGCCACGCCCCCACATACAGCGTCACAACCCAGCGACCTGGGAATCCAAGGCACCACTTCTTAAAGGGCCCGAACAGACCGAGAATGGCGCAGGAGGATCTCAGAGCCCCAGAAATAAATCTAAGCGATGAAGAAATAGCAAATCTCACAGACGCACAGTTTAAAACATTGGTTATCAAGATCCTCACAGAACTGGTTGATTATACGGACAAATTAGACAAATATATGAAGGCGAAACTAATTGAAATGAATGGAATTGCACAGGACACCAATAGCAATGAAAAGGAAACTGGGACTCAAATCAATGGAGTGGACCAGAAGAAAGCAAATAATGGCCAAACAGAAAAGAGTCAAGAAGCAAGAATTCAAAGAAATGAAGAGAGTCTTAGGAACCTCCAGGACATCTTTAAACGCTCCAACATCCGAATTATAGGGGTACCAGAAGGGGGAAAGGCACAGCCACCAGTGGAAAACTTATTTGAACAAATAATAAAGGAGAATTTCCCCAATCTGGCAAAGGAAATAGACTTCCAGGAAATCCAGGAAGCTCAGAGAGTACCAAAGAAGTTGGACCCAAGAAGGAACACACCAAGGCACATCGTAATTACATTAGCCAAGATAAAAATGAAGGAGAGAATCCTAGAAGCAGCAAGAGCTAAGGGGACAGTCACCTACAAAGGAGTCCCCATCAGACTGTCAGCTGATTTCTCAAAAGAGACCTTACAGGCAAGAAGGGGCTGGAAAGAGGTATTCCAAGTCAGGAAATCTAAAGACCTACAACCAAGATTGCTCTATCCAGCAAAACTTTCATTTAAAATGGAAGGACAGATAAGGTGCTTCTCAGATAAGATCAAATTCAAGGAGTTCATCATCACCAAGCCCTTATTATATGAAATGTTAAAGGGACTTATCTAAGAAAAAGAAGTTAAAGAAACATGAACAGTGAAAGGACAACAAACTCACAGTTATTAACAACCACACCTAAAACGAAAGCAAACTAAAAGGACAGCTAGATCAGGAGTGGAAACATAGAAATGAAGATCTCAAGGAGGGTTAGCAACAGGGGAGTGGGAGGAGGAGAAGGGGGGAGAAGGTACAGAAAATAAGTAGCATAGACACTAGATAGAAAATAGATGGGGGGGCAAGAATAGCATGGGAAATATAGAATCTAAAGGACTTGAGACACATGGTCATAAACTAAAGGCGGGGTGATGGTGGTGATGGGGGTAGGGTGGAAGGGAATAAAGGGGGAATAGAACAACTGTAACAGCATAATCAATAAAAAAAATTAAAAAAAAGGAGAAAATATCTAAATGTAATTTAGATAAGCTTCAGTAGACCTACTCTCTTCAGTAATCCTGAGCTCAATTCTCCATCAAATTCAGGAAATGTAGTGATAGTCATGATTCCCCAGTGTGTGGTGGTCTAAATCTTTTAATTATTTAAAGTAGCCTCTAGTAAGGGGAAAAAAGAAAAAAAACGCTTAAATCTTCTATGAGCAACCAAAATGACTAAGGGAAATAAAATATATTATAGTAGGAAGGATCACTTTTGTAACTGTGAAGAAAAAAATGTGTACATGTGTCAGAAAAACAAGAAATGTAACATCCTCTCCTGCTGAAAAACGTAGTGAAGCCACAGTGTTTTAGAAATCAGGAATCTGCTGTGGATTTAGATAGCATACTGTGCACTGGGGTCTATGGGAAGTATCCATTGAGAACACTCAGCACACATGAGAAAAAAAATCTAACTGGGACACAGTGATCTGGAAACAAAGGCTAGAAGCAAACATGCATTGTCATCTCAGTAACCTCTAAATGAATCTCTGTGTTACGGTGTGATGTTCATATGAGGATACAAAATAAAATAACGTGGCCAAACTCTCTTCTTTTTACTTTTCTATACTAATGAGGGAAATTATAATTTATGCCTTTAAAAAGGTTTCCAATTAAAAATAATTTCAAAATTCATGTCCAAACTCTAAAGCTCCTATACAATTTCTAACTAGAAAGTGTATTTCCAGTCCTCAAGATAATCGGGGCAAGACAGAAACCTTTGCAGATCCTCTGGAGCTAGAACTTGAGGCTGGTAGCCTTTTGTTTTTTTCAGTGGAGAGCACTCCATCATTACCTAATAATTAATTACATAATTAATCATTTATAACACAGTAATACAGCATTATGATTCAGCAAATGAATCCCCATATAACCCATCTCCCAAGTGGTAAATATAATACTGTAACCAAGATTGGAAAGAGTTACAGATACTTGCCTTAGGGTGCTTCTTATCAGAATTTCACAGAACATTCCCGTTTCTGACTTTCAGGGCGAATCCTCGGAACTTTAATTTCGACAATGTGGGAAATGCTATGCTGGCATTGTTTGAAGTTCTCTCCTTGAAAGGCTGGGTAGAAGTAAGGGATGTTATTATTCATCGTGTGGGGCCGGTAAGCAAGCATATGGAATCCTTTGAACACAATCCTTTCAACAGCTGCTTTTACTTGCTTTGATGAATAACCACATTTTTCATTTATACAGATGCATGGAATCTACATTCATGTTTTTGTATTCCTGGGTTGCATGATTGGACTGACCCTTTTTGTTGGAGTAGTTATTGCTAATTTCAATGAAAACAAGGTAAGAATTCTTGGGTTGAGTACCACAGAGTTTATTCTTTTCTAGCCACTAACTTTAAGCTCTCTTTTGCACACACAGCATGATGTCCCATTAAATTGTAATGTGACCAGTGTAAATAATTTCTGTACTATTTCACAAGCTACCTCACTGCTGCCTTTCAGGCTCATTATTTAAGAGCACAATTCTCTTGCTAAATTTCCTCATTTTGTGACAATGTCATTCACTCATGACAACCGAAAGGCACATCTCCTATTGCTCAAATTGAAGGGCTATGCAACAAGTTATTAAAATACAATAGCTGAAGCTGATGCAGTGATCACAGGTAATGTTACTCTAACAAATAATGTAAATTGGATGCTTCTTTGTAATTCATTAGGTTAACTCAGCATTTTGATGAGGTGAGGGAGGGTATGGTAGAAATTTTAAAATCCTAATTCATAGAATAAAAAGATTTTCTAATTTCATGTAAAAACTTCGCATGCTATATACACTCAGAGAGCTCAGATGATCAGTACAAGAGCTTACAAATGGAAAAAAGAACAAGTGGAGTTTCCTTCCAAACACACATAAGTTTAAGTGGCACAGTCTATGCCATTATCCTGGACGTGGCTGACATGCCCTCTGTTGTGTAAGGGTCAGTCTTCTGGAGTCATAATAATTGATACCCATATAGTTTCTGAGCACTTCCTATTCACTAAGGTTTTGATATGCTACTCTTAAGTCTCACAATTTTGAAGTGCACTGTTGAAGAAAAGACAACTTGCAGATGTAAAATAAGGAGTAGGAAACGGGGCCAGAATTCAGAAGTGTTGCCTATAACTGCAAGAATCTGTGATTCTTTCAAGAATATGAAAATGTCGACTGTCATCCTGCACTGAATTAAAGCTAGATGTGGCTATATAGCTCCATGCTGCTCCATGTTATTCATAGCTAGGACTGATTCACATCACATCAGAGCTCTTTGGTTTGTGTGGCTATGTGTGGAACTGTATCATTCACAATTCCCCAGGCTCCACGTATGTGATGCCAGTTACTCAGTCAATTGGTGCCTTTGATGTGTGCCAAATGAGGATGTCATTTTGTTCTGACTTTCAAAGAGTGAGACTTAAAAATCCCCCTTTTGGGTCCCAACACTGCTATAACCCACAGAAACATGGGATTTTAGAGTAAGAAAGGAAAGAGATCATATCACCAGCCCCCCTATTTAATACATTCATAAATGAGTTTCTTTAAGCCCTACAGAGAGTTCAATTTAATACCAAGCAGAAAGAAGAAGATGGGTCTTTTAGATGCCTTTGAGCCTTGATATGGAGCAGACACTGAGAATTCTGAAATAAGATCAGAACCTAATAAGTCAATTAACACCATACAAGGCCCTTTGAGCACACACCTGATTTGAGAAGAATTAGGTCCTATGGCAGCTCCATGGTTCAGCAGCATAAATGAAACAACATAAAAAGTTGAATAACTGGAGACAATGTAGTTCTTGACCTCAGAGTGTCTGAAGCAAGTGGAATAAGAGGAGGTCTACTTCCAACACTGGTTGTATTTCTTTTCTGAAGTAGGAAAGGAGCATCTTTGCCTAAGAAAAGGGAGCATGTATAGAATTTCAAATGAGTGCTTATAAAAAGAGGAAAAGGAGAAGAAATCATATTACCAGACATTACAAACTTTATTATCCAATAGGGCATATAAGTTTCTAATTATGTGAACTTTATAAAAAAGGTTTTCACTTTCCTGCAAGTTTTTTTGATGGTAGCACTTGAGCTGCTATGTGATATTTATTCATTTATTACCCAATCATTCAACAGATTTCTTTGAACACTTAGTAGGTGCCAGACACTGCTCTTAACTCTGAGAGCATAACAAGCTGAACACATAAAGATTTCTGTCCTCATGGAGCTCACATTCTAATGGTCATACCTGAAAGTATATAAATAGATTTTCAAATGTATAGGCAATCGAGAAATATAACCAATAGAGAGGGGGAAATAAGGTAAGCTTTGGGAGCAAAGTTTTCACAACTCAGAATCATGTAATATTGTATTTTCCCTAGAAAGTGGAATCCTGTTCAAAAAGTTCAAAGTCTAAACCAGAAATATATATGTATGTATATGTATATCTGTGTATATATATATGTATATATATATACAGTCATATATATATTTTCCCAGTATAAAATAATATTTAATATACTTAATTTAATAATAATAAACCTTTGGAGGTTTCATACATTAATGATCAGTGATATCACCAAGCTTGTTACTCTTTTGGATTATTTCAAAGTTCAGCTCGAAAATAACTTGCTTTTTTATAAGAAGGGAATAACATGAATGTATTCCTATCATAGCATCCAGAAAACAAATATTTGTAGTTAATGAGAGAAGTGGCATAGCAATATTGATATCAGAAAAATTAATTTAAAATAATTATCATTAGAAATAAACAGTGTAATTAACTAATTGCAAAAAAATGAATCCTCAGAAAAATATAGAACTCCTGAACCTTAAAATATATTAAACAAAAATTACTCAAATTATTTTAGAAATCTAGAAAAAAATCCACACTTATGATGAAATATATTAACATATTTCTTTAACAGACTCACAGATCAGGCAGAAAAAAAGAAATAATATATGAAATTTAACACTGTAAAAATATTTGATCTACTAGACACATAAAGAACCCTGACCTTCACAACTTCCAAATATAAAATGTGTCCTTTACACAGTTATAAAATAATAATTGTCAAAAAAATGATAATATATAGAACAAGTTCTATACCATAGTAAAAAAGATAGCAGAAAGTACCTCAGAAATTGGAAATATTAAGATAACTCTCTAAATAATTTATGAGTTACAGAAGAAATCAGAATATAAAAATCAGAAAATATGTCAATAAATCATGTATTAAAAATCATATATGAAAACTCACAAGATATAGATAAATCAGTAGAGGAAAATTTGGAGCTTAATGCATATATGTTAGAGCACAGGTAACAGACACATGGGCCAAATCTGGCCCTGCACGTTGTTATATCCAACCTAGCACCTTGTTTCTACCTGGCAACAGCACCAAGCTCCTTGCCCCTAGGTAAGGAGAAGTTACATTTATACAGTCCTAAAACTACATTCGGCCCTTTGAAGGCAACTGTGAGGCTGATGTGGCCCCCGGTGAAAATGAGTATGACACCCCTGTGTTAGAGGATAATTAAAGATTAATTATTAATATGTCAAAATATAAAAATCAATAAACTATAATAAAAATAACAGTAAAATTAAAGAAAGTATGTGGAAGGGAGTAATAAAATATAAAAAACTAACAATAGAAAATTTCAAGAATGACAAAAGTGGGTTCTTTTAAAAAATTAAATTGATAAACATTTTGCCAGGTTGAGGGTCAACAAAAATGTATAAAAGGAAAGAAAACAAGCTGTAGTAAGTAAAATTATGCCAGTATTGTTACAGGAATAGAAAATTAAAGCTACAGAACAGAATAGAAAGCCCAGGCATTACCCATGTATATAAAAACAGAATTAGCCCAACAAATCGGTGGAGATGAGACCATCAATAAGTGATCTTCAGTTAATTATCTAGGTTTTAAAAAATAAACCTATTTCTAGAGTCTCATAAGCTATTCAAAGCTGAATTCCAGATGAATACATAGCCTAACAATGTAAAACATAGCAAAATTATAAACCATTTTTAAACCACATAAAATTGAGTTTTTTACCCTGGAGTACTTGTAGATTTCTTTTTTTTTATTTTATTTAGTTATTTTTCAAGTACAGTTTTTTGTCTATTTCTCCCATCGCAGCATCCCTCACTAGATTTCTTGACATTAACCACAAAGTGACATCCATAAAGGAAAAAATTTATAACTTAGATTACATTAAAACAAGAATTTGCTAAATGATAAAGAACACATTTTATTTGAATGATAAAAGCAAAACTTAAAAAAAAAACCACTAAGTAAAGACTAAGAAAATATTTACAACTCAAATAACTGATAAAGGAGTATCCAGAATGGTGACGGAAGTAGACTGATGAAGTAGTAAATACACAGTACAGTGTACAGATGATGTGTTGTAGAACTGTGCACCTGAAAACTGTATAATTTTGTTAACCAGTGTCACCCCAGTAAATTTGACTTAAGAGGTGTCCATAATATATTAAGAATTTCTACAAAACATCAAAAAGTAAATATTTAAATACAAAAATGAGCAATGAATGTGAACAGGCAATTCACAAAAAGGGAGATACAGGAATCACCACTTATACATATAAAAATGCTTCATCTCATTAATATTAATATTAAACTAAATTAAATACACTTCACACACATTAAAAGGCCAAATTAAAATGTCTGATAATTTTCAGTATTAATAAGAATATGAGGAAATGGGAACACTTGGAGGTTGCTAGTGGCAGATTTTCTTGCTTACTCCTCTTTGGACAGTAACTTGGTAATATTTGGTAAGTGTATAAATTGCATAAATTTTCATAAATTCTTAGGCCCCAGCAATTCTTGTCCTTAGAGACATATCATAGAGAAATGCTTGTAGGTGTTTATGATGACACACAAAATGTGTCTCTACTACAACATTGTTTATAGTCCATAAACCTAAAATGAATATTATCTGATATATTCATATAGTAGGATACTCTACAAGTTAAAATAAAACCAGTTAGATCTAGTATCTAGTTGTACAAAACAGTGTTGAATGAAGATAAAAAACAAACCACAAATAAGTGTTTATTGGATACCATTGTACGATTTTTTTAATTTAAAACAAATACATTTATATGTATTGAGATTTATACAATCAGCAAAAGTTTGAAAATATAATGGGGATGATATACCCCTGAAGGACTGTCCTGAGCTCTGGAGGACAAAAGAAATAATGGTGGGTTTGTTTTTTTTTACCAAGTTTCTTAAATTATACTTCTGCTTTTATAGTATATTATAGTAAAATATATTTACATGCATTTCAATGAAGTACCTAGTATCTGACTTTATTCAGCCAGTTGTCACAGCTATTAATTTCTTGGAGACACAAATTCTATGTCTTTCTACCACTTAAAAACAATTTTGCAATTGCACACGATCAGAATGATTTTGAAAAACATGTTTAAAAACAAAATATACTTACCCAGAAGCAGCAGCATTGACAAGCTATAATTTTGCTGAAGCATTTTCTGCTATGAAATAAAAACAAGCCAATCACTATTAACATGAGGGTCCCTTTTTGAAAATTTAATCATGTAGAAAACCTTTAGATTTCCCCAAACCTGGGAAACATTCAAAGATGCTAATTGAAGGCCGCTGAGTCTGTTGCAAATCCCATGGCCATACTTTTTGGAAGTCCTCTTGAAAACAAGTTTGAGAATTCTGTCCCTGTTTATCAAACCACTACAGTATTTGAAGAATATCTTTATTTTAACCCCTAAATTAGTCTATTTGTATCACCACCCTATATACAATATCCTTGGTATGGAGTATGTGACAAAAGGCCTTTTTCTGCTTTTCTTTGTTTATTAAGGGGACAGCTCTTCTGACTGTAGATCAGAGAAGATGGGAAGATCTGAAGAGCCGACTGAAGATAGCACAGCCTCTTCATCTCCCACCTCGCCCGGGTATCAAAGATGTTCTGATTTTATTCATGTTGGGCATTAGTGTTCATGACTCCCCAGGAGTCTAAGATTTCAATTAAAATAATAATCGTAAGGCCACTAGGTGGTTGTGCATAAGTTAATATAGAAACAGGCTCCAAACTACAGATCTCACCATATGCTATTAAAATCCACCATCCAAAGGTTGTGCTTCAGTGCTCTCAGGATAAGCCTTAATGAAAAAATGAATTTTTAAATAAAATATTTGTGCTTGCCTTTTCAAGATATGAGTGAAGTGTATCAAACTGAAAGAAATTGAATGATGCGGTTCTCCTTTCAATACAGACAGTGTCATGTACCATCATTTTAAATATTCAAAGCCAGCCATTCCTGCAAAACACTACACAATAGATTGAGCTGTGGGGGTGGGGAAATGTAACAGGTTTTATGATGAGCATTAAAGAAAATGAAACACAAGAAAGTCAATGTGACCTAGGTCTAAAATGCCCTTGCTTAATTAAACCTTTCTTATCCAGATAATGATGGTTTCAGAGCCAAGATGTATGACATAACCCAGCATCCATTTTTTAAGAGGACAATTGCATTACTTGTCCTGGCCCAGTCGGTGCTGCTTTCTGTCAAGGTACTTTGTTTCACCCTAAGACTCTGGGGATAAATTTCTTATTCATGGGTGCATCCCAGAATATTGCAAGTGGTCATATTTACTATAATCTGTGTTCTTTAGTATAAAAAGTTTAAATTCACAGTTGTGTTCGAATGGGAGAAAGAAGGGGAACTTTTTTGTGTCTGATGAATGTGGACAAAGACATGTATGCTGTTTCCTTTCCAGTGGGACGTTGAGGACCCAGTGACTGTTCCTTTGGCAACAATGTCAGTGGTTTTCACCTTCATCTTTGTTCTAGAGGTACCTAAATGGGTCTGTGTGGGGGGGAAGGGAGATGGTGCTCATTTTAAAGTAAGTGTCCTCCTTTGATGGCACATTTCAGATCTGTGTCCCACTGCTGCTGAAGTCATTGTTTTTTACCTGTGGGTAGTATGTCCTTAGGGTATTTCCTTTTGAGGCTGTCCTGCTTAACTTGAACAAAGACTTCATTTTATATTTCAGATTTTTCTAACCACAGGAATTGCAAACTGTAGTTAATTGCTATATCAGAATGATGGCCTGTCTAGTTATCTGATTCCAAATATTTGGAGGAAAATGCATAAGCCACGTGTAACTCAAGAACTCAAATTGCAATGTGGTGGCAAACGGAGTTGGTCCAGACAAGATTATTTTAATATATGGTTCCTGTCATATCACTTTCCAGGCATATTCTTCTTATCATTATTTCACCCTATAATGGTCAATTTTTCCCAAAATCTACCATCTTTTACCTGAGGAAGAAAAATGTCGTGTTATCAAACTGACCATAAAACAAAGACAAAACAGAGTGGAAAATATAGGTGTATTACTTACTCAGCCTTTTCATATATATGATAAATGTTTCTCTTGGGTTGCTACATCCTTTAAAATAATAATGTGACTCAAGTTGATACATTTCAATATGTTCTGAACCCTCAGTCTTGACTTACTCTCTTCATTGTTTTCCACCAGGTCACAATGAAGATCATAGCCATGTCACCTGCTGGTTTCTGGCAAAGTAGAAGAAATCGCTATGATCTGCTGGTGACATCACTTGGTGTTGTCTGGGTGGTACTTCACTTTGCCCTTCTGGTACGTACATAATTTATTTTAGTTGATACCATAATTTCATTTGAGGTAACCCTGTTTTTAGTTCATTTCACTCCATGTCAGCCTATTCACAGATGTCATATTAACCTTCCTAAAATCCAGCCTTGACTGAGATGGGCCCTCACACATTCTAGTACACACACACAGAATTGTACATGTCTACACACTCATATTCTTCACACAGACAAAACCTGGCCCCTCAAAGTTCTAGAGTATTTAAACAAGTGCCTTAAAGCTCTTCCGGCTTAGCCCTCATTTTGCCAAAGGATCAAAACCAGAAAGAGTAAAAACAAAAACAGATTAAGAAATCTGTCTAAATTCACATGTAAGGTAGTATCAAAAGACTCAAACCCTGTTTTCTGAGCTGAAGTGTAGCATCTGTGCTACTACATGATAATCAGTATTTCAGTGTCATTCTCAGGTACTTTCCTGCTTTATTTTCTACTAGATTCCCAGCTGCCATTTCTCTAAACCACATCTTTCCCCATGTCTATCCCTGACTTCTCATTGTTTTACCTAAATGCTTTCAGCCTCCATTCAATCCAAGGTCAAGCTCAAAATGTACACCTATGAGTGTCTTTGACCATGACCTTGACACCTGTTGTCCAATAGAAGTAAAATATGCCACAGATATAATTTTAAATTTTCTAGAACCCAAATTTAAAATATAAAAAATAACAAACAACACTAATTTCATAATATATTTTTAAAACTGCCATATCCCAAACATAGGGTGAGGCAAAAGTAGGTCGCAGTTGTTTGTCTGAAAAATATCACAATAGTTAAAAAAATAATAATACAAGAATAAACTCTGTGTTTTCTGTACTCGCAGCTATAAACCTACTTTTGTCCCACCTTGGATTATCATTTCAATATATCAGCCATATAAAAAATTCTGAGGGAGAGATGTTACATGCTTTCTTTTATACTAAATATTTGATTGAATATATATTTTAATTAACAACAAGTCTTCATTTAGACTGCCATTTCTTTTTTTTCTTTTTATTTAATTGTTGTTCAAGTAGTTTTCCATCTTTTACTCCCATCCCAGCCCTCCCCACCTCCCTCCCATTTCCAACCCCCTTCGTTTTTGTCCATGTGTCCTTTATACTTGTCCCTGTAAATGCTTCCCCTTTTCCCCTGAAATTCCCACCCCTCTCCTCTCTGGACAGCCTGTTCTCTATTTCATTGCCTTTGGTTATATTTGCTTGTTTGTTTGTTTTGTTCTTTAGGTTCCTGTTAAAGGTGAGATTATAGGGTATTTGTCTTTCACAACCTGCTTCTTTCACTTAGAATAGTGCTCTTCAGTTCTATTCATTCTGTCCCAAAGGGTAGGACCTCCTTCTTTCTTTCTGCTGTGTAGAATCCCACTGTGTAAATGTACCATAGTTTTTTGATCCATTCATTTACTGATGGGCACCTAGGTTGCTTCCAACACTTGGCTATTATACATTGTGCTGCTATGAACATTGGGGTGCATAGGTTCTTTTGGATTGGTGTTGCAGGGTTCTTAGGGTACAATTCTAGCAGTGGAAATGCTGGGTCAAAAGGCAGATCCACTTTTAGTTTCCTGAGGAAATTCCATACTGTTTTTCATAGTGATTGTACCAGTCTGCAATCCCACCAACTGTGCACTAGGGTTCCCTTTTCTCCACAACCTCCCCAACACTTGTTTGTTGCTTTGTTTATGATGGCCATTCTGACCAGTGTGAAGTGATATTTCATTGTGGTTTTAATTTGCTTCTCTCTGTTGGCTAGTGATGCTGAGCATCTTTTCATGTGTCTCTGGATCCTCTGTATGTCCTCCTTAGAGAAGTGTCTGTTCAAGTCCTTTGCCCACTTTTTAATTGGGTTTCTTGTCTTCTTAGCGTGAAGTCATGTAAGTTCTTTACATATTTTGGAGATTAAACCCTTGTCTGAGGTATCATTGGCAAATATGTTTTCCCATACAGTTGTTTGTCTTTTTATTTTAATACTGTTTTCTTTAGCTATGTAGAACCTTTTTATTTTGATGAGATCCCATTTGTTTCTTCTTTCCTTTACATCCCTTGCTCTAGGGAACATATCAGTAAAAATGTTGCTGCGTGAAATACCTCAGATTTTCCTGTTTATATTCTCCTCCAGAATTTTAGTGGTGTCACGGCTTATACTTAAATCTTTTATCCACCTTGAATTTTATTTTGGTGTATGGTATAAGTTGGTGCTCGAGTTTCATTTTTTTCCATGTAGCTGTCCAGCTCTCCCAACACCAATTGTTGAAGAGGCTATTTTTACTCCATTTTATGTTGCAGCCCCCTTTGTTGAAATATTAATTGACCACATAGAAACTTTGGTTTATTTCTGGGCTCTCTGTTCTATTCTATTGGTCCATGTGCCTGTTTTTATGACAATAACAAGCTGTTTTGATTACAGTGGCTTTGTAATACAGTTTGGTATTAGGTATTGTGATCCCTCCTACTTCGTTCTTCTTTTTCAAAATTGCAGCAGCTATTTGGGGTCATTTATGGTTCCATATAAATTTTTCAAGTGTTTGTTCTATGTCTGTGAAATATGCCATTGGTACTTTAATGGGTATTGCATTGAATCTGTAAATTGCTTTGGGTAGTATGGACATTTTGATGATGTTAATTCTTCCAATCCGTGAACACAGTATATGTTTCCATTGTGTCTTCCTTGATTTGTTTCTTTGGTGTTGTACAGTTTTCTGTATACAGGTCTTTTACATCCTTGGCTAAGTTTATTCCTAGGTACTTTTTTTTTTTTTTTTTGCTATATCAAATGGGATTTTTTTCTTGATTTCTGCTTCTGATGTTTCATTGTTGGTATACAAAACTGCCTTTGATTCCTGAATATTGACTTTGTATCCAGCTGCTTTGCTAAATTCATGTATTAGGCAGAGCAGTTTGTTGGGAAAGTCTATAGAATTTTCTATGTATACTATCATGTCATCTGTAAATAGACAGTTTTATTTCCTGCTGTCTGACTTGGATGCCTTATTTCTTTTTCTTGTCTGATCCCTGTGGCTAAAACTTCCAAAACTATGTTGAATACAACTGGTGAAAGTGAACAACCTCGTCTTGTTCCTGATCTTAGTGGAAAAGACTTTAGTCTTTTAGACTTTAGTTTGCCCATTGAGTACGATGTTGGCTGTAAATCTCTCACATGTGACCTTTATTATGGTGAGGAATGGTCCCTCTATTCCCACTTTGCTGAGTGTTTTTATCATAAATGGCTGCTGTAGCTTCTCAAATGCTTTTTCCACATCTATCGTTATGTTCATGTGATTTTTGTCTTTGCTTTTGTTTATGTGATGTATTACACTTACTGATTTGGGAATATTGAACCATCCTTGCATCCCTGGAATAAATCCCACTTGGTCATGGTGTATGATCTTTTTAATGTGTTCTTGGATGCAGTTCACCATATTTTGTTGAGGATTTTAGAGTATATGTTCATCAGTGATATTGGTCTGCAGTTTTCTTTTTGTTGTGTTTTTATCTGGTTTTCAGATTAGGATGATGCTGGCTTCATAAAAAGAGTTTGGGGGGTCTTCCATCATTTTGGATTTTTAGGAATAGTCTGTGAAGGATAGGGGTTAGCTCTTCCTTAAATACTTTGTAGAATTCTTCTGGGAAACCATCTGGTCCAGGGTTATTGTGTGTTGGGAGTTTTTTGATTACTGCATAAATTTCATCTACTGTTATTGCTGTATTCAGGCTTTCTGGTTCGTCTTCATTGAGTTTTGGAGGATTATATTTTTGTAGAAATTTGTCCATTTCACCCAGGTTTTCAAATTTCTTGGCATACAGTTCTTCATAGTAATTTTTTACAATATTTGTATTTCTGTGGTATCAGTTGTAATCTCTCCTCTTTCATTTCTGATTGTGTTTATTTTGGTCCTCTCTCTTTTTTTTCTTGATGAGCCTGCTTAAAGGCTTGTTGGATTTCTTTATCTTTTCTAAGAACCAGCTCCTGCATTCATTGATCCTTAGAATTATACTTTTGGTCTCCATGTCATTTAATTCTGCTCTAATCTTGGTTATTTCTTTTCTTCTACTTGCTCTGGGCTGACTTTGGTGTTTTTCCTTGAGTTCTTGTAGACATAGGGTTAGGTTGTTAGTTTGAAATGTTTCTATCTTTTTTTGGTAGGCCTGTATTGCTGTGAACTTCCCTCTCAGGACTGCCTTTGCTTTGTCCCATAAGTTTTGGATTGTTGTGAGTTCATTTTCATTTGTTTCCAGAAACTTTTTGATTCCTTCCCTAATTTCATTTTTGATTCATTCATTGTTTAATTGCATGCTATTCAATCTCCATGAGTTTGAGTATTTGGGTTTTTTTTTTCCTTGGTGTTGGTTTCTAATTTCAGTCCCTTGTGGTCAGAGAAAATGCTTGGGATGATTTTCAATTTTCTTGAAATTTTTGAGGCTTGTTTTGGGTCCTGTCATGTGGTCTATCTTTGAAAATGTTCCATGTGCATTTGAAAAGAATGTGTATTTAGCTTCTTTGAGATGAAGGGCTCTCTATATATATCAGTTCAGTTCATTTGATTTAGACATTGTTCAATGCCTAAAGACATTGAACAATCAAGACTTTGTCATTGAACAAAGACAGTATCTTTCTTGATATTTTGTTTGGAAGATTTGTCCATTTTTGACAGTGGGGTGTTAAAATCTGAGTATAATTGTGTTGCTGTCAGTATCTTTCTTAAAGTCCTCCAGGGTTTTCTTTACGTATTTGGGTGCTCCTATGTTGGGTGCATATATATTTACAAAGTTTATGTCTTCTTAGTGGATTCTTCCCTTGAGTATTATGAAGTGACCTTCTGTGTCTCTCTTTAGGCTTTTTTTTAAATCTATTTTGTCTGATATGAGTATTGCTACCCTAATCTCTTTTTTTATGTCCACTTGCTTGGTAAATTTGTTTCCAGCTCTTCACCTTCAGTCTGTGATGGTCTTTTGTCCTGAGGTGAGTTTCTTGTAGGCAGCATCTGTGTGGGTCATGCTTTCTTATCCATTCAGCTATCCTACATCTTTTGACTGGAGCATTTAATTCATTTATGTTTAAGGTTATTATTGTTAGGTACTTATTCATTGCTATTTTTCATACCTGTGTTCCTCTCTGTCTCTCTCTTTCCTTTCCCTCAAGCAGTCCCTTTAGCATCTTTTACAGAGCTAGTTAGGTGGAGATGTATCCTTTTAGATTTCTTTTATCTGCGAAGCTCCTTATTTGGCCTTCTACCTTGATTGAGAGCCTTGCTGGGTAAAGTAGCCTTGGTTGCAGGCCTCTGGTTCCCATTACTTGCAATTTTCTTGCCATTCTCTTCTGGCTTGGAGTGTTTACATTGAGAGGACAGCTCCTAACCTTATTGGGGCTCCTTTGTATGTTACTTTCTGTTTCTCCCTTGCTGCCTTTAAGATTCTCTCTTTGTCTTGGAATATTACCATTTTAATTATGGTATGTCTTGAAGTGGGTCTCTTTTGGTTCCTCTTGATTGGGACTCTCTGTGTTTCCTGGATTTGTGTGACTTTTTTTCTCACCATATTAGGAAAGTTTTCCATCATTATTTTTTCAAATAAATTTTCTATCCCTTGCTCCTCCTCTTCTCCTCCTGGTATCTCTATTATACACATATTATTACATTTCATATTATCCTACATTTCTCTTAATCCCTCTTCATTGTTTCTGAGTCTTTTTTCCTTTTTTTTTTTTGCTCTTTCTGGGTGTGTTTTTCTACTTTGTCCTCCAGCTCACTGATCTGATCTTCTGCTTCATCTATCCTGCTTTTGATTTCTTCCACTGTGTGCTTCAGTTCAGAAATTGTATTCTTCATTACCTTTTGGCCCTTGTTGATAGATTCTATTTTCTTTTTCATGCTGATATAGTTTGCGGCGAGTTCACTGTAGTTTCCCTGTAGTTTCTGATGATTCACTGTGAACTCATTGAGCTTCCTTATAACCATTGTTCTGAACTCAATATCTGATAGTTGAGTTGCCTGTATTTCATTTAGCATTCTTTCTGAGTCTTCCTCCTTTCCTTTCATTTGGGGATTGTTTCTTTGTCTTCCCATTTTTTGTGAGACTCTTCTTGTTAGCCTCAGATTCTTAAATTGATCTGTTTTGGTTCCCTGGGTTAAAAATATGGAATGCTTCACAAATTTGCATGTCATCCTTGTGTAAGGGCCATGCTAATCTTCTCTATATCCTTTCAATGTAAGTATATGTGCTGCTGAAGCGAGGACTAAACTCACTATATTTCAAGTCAATAATGTCAATTATTGTTGCTCAATAATGTCATGAGGCTAGTGGTTACAATGTTAGTTAATGCTAGGTCTTAGTCTAGGGTTATACCATTTTTCAGCCTTATCAAGTTACTTGTCTTTAATGATTCTCTGTTTCCTACTCTGAACTGAGAATATAATTTCATAATTTCCATGTTCTATATGATCATTTTGAAGATCCATAATGTGAAGTTTTTCTAACTGTAAAGATTATACCAACCTATAACACATTATTATAAATATCTTCTTTTTGGTTAGTCTTTCTTGATCCTACCCAAAAGCAATATTATCAGTTTCTCCCTGCTTGCTCCTATTCATTCTCTCATCCTTTGGAAAAGATTCATGGCACACAAAACCTATTTACCCATTTCAAGGGCCTTGCTTTAGTATGAAATTGTTGTGCTCAGGCCCTGGCTGGTGTAGCTCAATGGATTGAGCATGGGCCTATGAAGCAAAGAGTTGTGGTTCAATTTCTAGTCAGGGCACATGCCTAGGTTGCAGGCCAATTCCCAGCCAAGGGACACATGCGAGGCACCACACATTGATGTTTCTCTCCCACTCTTTCTCCTTCCTTCCCCTCTCTCTAAAAATAAATAAATAAAATATTTTTTAAATTTTGTTGTGCTCAGGAAGTTTTGTGTTCTTCCCAAGACAGTTGACACCTTCAGTGTCAGGAGCTGTGCCAAACACAGGTGGGCCCTAAGTCACCGTGATTCATTTCCTCAAACGATAAATGTTTTTGAGCACAACTGGTATGTAAGCCACTGTGCTAAAAATTAAAGAGAATGTAATGAGTAAAACAAAGACAGTCACTCCTTTTGTGAACTGCACAGCCTGGAAAGTTAGGTAGACATTCATTAAATACTCCCAAGTTGCTGTTGGGTGTTATTACTTCCAGAATGTAAAGCAAAAAGGTACGTATAGTAAGTTTAGACCTAACATAAAGAGAAGGAGCAGGAAGGCCCATGATTTTATGGTTCTCAAAATTGCAATTAAACACTACTTACTTTACACAAAGCAATAAAGTAAGCTTCCTAATTTTAAATCTTCCCAGAGAGGATATCTCTGGGACCAACTTGTCTTTTCTGCCCCACTGCTTTTGTTCTTCTCTAAAAACCTCTGGCCTGAAAGCATGCTTCTTCTCCACTCTATTTTGCAATGGACCAGAAGATACAGTCCTTGTTTCCATTCAGAAATGATTCTGTACAGACATTCATTTCCTTGCACCTCACCAAAGATCTCACCAGACCCCCTTCCCAGGTGTCCATCTTATGACTGTTGTCATTTGCCTAGGCAAGGGCTCTCAAGAAAAATCATATTGTGACATAGGCTTAATGCCACATTTACTATTACAGTTATAGTCAGTGGGATCTTTGTTTCTCAGATTAAACTTTCTTAGTCAGGAAGCATATCAAGTCTTCTCTTGTTATTGATCATATATTGAATGTGTTTTGAACAAAGAAAACATCTTTGAAATCATCTTAAACTAACAGACATGCAGTCAGCTGGTCTCCAGAGGTCTCCAGAGACCTTTGGAGTTAAGCCATCTGACTACCAGCAATTCTTTGCATCACTTGAGCTCCCTCTGCCAGGATTTCTTTATATTCTATCTCACTTGATCCCTTATGTTGAATTGTTATCCTAGGTTGTTCTTGCTTCTCAAAAAAGTTAGTCATTATTTTATGTAAAAGTAAGTTTTTTAATGATTTTATTTGTTTATTTTTAGAGATAAGGGAAGGAAGGGAGAAAGAGATGGAGAGAAACATCAATGTGTGGTTGCCTCTTGCATACCCCCTACTGGGTACCTGGCCCAGAACTGAAGCATGCTTTCCAGCAGGGAATTGAACCAGGGACCCTTTACTTTGCAGTCTGGCACTCAATCCACTAAGCCACACCAGCAAGGGCGTAAAAATAAATTTTAAAATATAGAATTCAGCTGAGTAAAAGAGACACCAAAATTTTATTTAAGATTTAATTTTATAGCTAATAATTATTCATGAGGTTTGGCAGTGACCTTTTCAGCACCTTTTTTTTAAAAAATATTTTATTTATTTACCTTTAGAGGGAAAGGGAAGGAGAGAGGGAGAGAAACATCAATGTATGGTTGCCTTTCGTGCATCCCCTGCAGGGAACCGGTCTGCAACCCAGGAATGTGCCCTGACTGGGAATCGAACCGCAATTATCTGGTTCACAGAGCCGTGCTCAATCCACTGAGCTACACCAGCCAGGGCTAGCACCTTTTTGAGATAAATTTCTTATAGGATTTTTTACATATTATAAAACTAATTAGCTGTTGTCATTTTTTTTTGACAATCTAAGGGAAATTAAGTCAGTGCCCTGACTAAATAGTCAGGTATTGCATGTTTTTTTTTTTAATGTACAACAGGAATATTAATTGATTGCCTCTCCCCCTCCCCCAACTGAGAACTTGGCCTGTGCCCAGGCATGTGCCCTGACTGGGAGTTGAACTGGCGACTTTTAGGTCTGCAGGCCAGTACTCAGTCCACTGAACCACACCAGCCAGAAAAGGTATTGCATGTATTAAAAATTCTTGTGGCACAGCAGTGTACCACAGCACACTGATTGAAAATCACTGGCATATCCCATCATCCTCTCTTTGGCTGTTTGCTCACTTGGAGTATTGTTACATAACCTTAAATAAAATGTACTTTTCTCTGTATGTTTTTATTTTCTAGTGGACAGTTTCATAAAGGATAATACGAGAGTCTACTGCCAGTAACTAATATCTGCAATCAAGTGGACATCCTCTATTTAATTTCTTCTTTTTGAATAAATGAAGATTCAGGCTTTGTAATTTTAGTGCCCTTAAATGCAGTGCTTTTTCAGTATTGAAATATTGAAAATGATTTCAATATTGGATTTTCAGACTTGGAAAATGGCTAGACCTTTCACTGAATACTTATTTTCCTACATTTGCTGTTCTGCTGGTAGTGGGTAATTTGCCATTTTTAGTAGTGAATTCTAAAAGGTAAATATATATATATATATATATAGTCACATATAAAGATTCCCCATTTCAAATATTAAAAAAAAAAAAACCTAATTATTCAGCAGATTTCACAGAAGACTCAAAATGAACAGGTGAACTATAACGAGATCTTTTGTGCAAATTATGAGAGGCTCTCTTCTCTTTAAATTTCAGAATGCATATACCTACATGATGGGTGCGTGCGTGATTGTCTTTAGGTTTTTCTCCATCTGTGGAAAGCATGTAAGTACATTTATTGTGAAGAACAGCACCAAAGGCAGCATAAATAGAGAAGAAAGGAGCAATGGCTAACTTTAGCTGACTTCTAATCTTCAGTATTGTAGTTAACAAATTGCTAGACACTGTAAGCCCAAATGATTAAATTTTAAATATTAAAATGAATCATTAAACATGATATTTTATTATTCTTTTGTAGTAAATGAATCATTAAAATGATAGTTACCTTGTTATGTTTCCTGACATGTTGTTTTATTTATTTTTTATATTTGCTAAGTAAACTCAATCATCAACTAAATATAGAGATGAGGGCAAAAACCAATTGTCCTTCTTAATATTTCTTTATTTTTAGTTTTTATTTTTAATAAAGTTTTTACTGCAAATAAAAATAATCTTTAATAAATATTTATAATTATCTGATTCCATGTTTATATTATTTATTAATGTGCATACATATGAGTACAGTCCACACATATTTTTCATTTTTTAAATAATTTCCTTTTTGATACTGACATTGTCATATGCATTCCATATACCCACATAATCAACACACTTCATATTTGATAGTATTTAGTATTTCACCATTGTTTAGGTTTGTTCTTATGAACATCTGTTTGTGGAAAAATACTGAGTCTACTTGCTACAGCCCTAAAATTTATAGCCCTTATAAAAAGAAAAAGCAAAAGAAGAGAGAATAGAAGACTAAAAATCTTAAGATGAAATTTTTATTAATTTGGCTGAAAAGACTGAACAGTTAAAAATACAAGTAGAATTTCTGTCAAAGGGTTTGTGAGTAATATTCAGATTTAATAGCTAATAGGAAGCAATTTTCAAATGATATCCTGAGGGTCACTCTTGTGCCAACTTGCATGAATGCTGTTTACTTCCCATGTTCTCCACAGCTTAATGAGTTGAATATTCATATTCTTTCTCTCTCTCTCTCTCCATCTCCATCTCCATACAGGTAACACTGAAAATGCTCCTCCTGACAGTGGTCGTCAGCATGTATAAAAGCTTCTTTATCATTGTAGGAATGTTTTTATTGCTGCTGTGTTATGCTTTTGCTGGAGTTGTTTTATTTGGTACTGTGAAATATGGAGAGAACATTAACAGGTTTGTGTGTATTTATCTTTCCATTCGTTTATCCAGCAAACTTTTTTAGTAATGAAATCAGAATAAATACCTGAATGCTTCTTGTCTATTAGAGATGGAGGAGAAGGGAGAAGCAATCAGTTGTAAATTCAAACAAAATTAAAAAGGTCATTTTCTTAATTGAAAACAGCATACATGTTTACTTTAGAGACAGAAAATGCAGGAATAAAATTTTAAAAATCTATAACTCCACTACCATGCAGGAATAACCACTACTGATATCCTTGTGAATTCTAGCATTTTTCTATTCACACACTGCCAAAAAATGATGTATTATTTTAATAAATAATTTTGAGATGACATTGGGTTTTTTCCTTTCTTATTTTTTAGTTAAGCATGGGAAGTTAGAACCCCCAAATGGTTATTGTATAAAAAACATTTTTCAAAGATTACCTTAAATTTTGTAAAAGTGTCTCATAATGTTAAAAAAAATCCTTAGACCACAAATGATATATAGATATGTGTTGTTGCAGAGATGACTTATTTAAAACATGGCACCTCCATCTTTCATAGCATAATCCTTGTGAAAGAATCACTTTATATTTTCATAGCTTGCTCCCTCAGTCAATCAAGATGAATGGCAAGAAACTGGTGGCACAATGCTAGGATTGGGTTATTAAGACAGCTATACTTGAGGACAAGTATAGACAATGAACAAAGAGAGGGTGTAACCTTTGGAAATGGTTATTTGGCAACCAAATTTATTCCAAAATCCACCTGTTTGGATGGTGACAAACCTTATTATTTTATGACAACTATATTATTCACATTCTGTTTTTTTTCTTAAATTAGGCATGCAAACTTCTCTTCGGCTGGCAAAGCTATTACCGTGCTCTTCCGAATTGTCACAGGCGAAGACTGGAACAAGATTATGCATGATTGTATGGTAAATATCTCTTTAGCATTAACAACGCCTCAGCTTAGAATCAAGTGAAACTCTTTGGCCATGCAACATTGGCTGTATCTTTATTAGTACCAAGACTTTGTGTACAAAACACATATCCTGGTCTTTTAGTCCATAAAATTGCATTTTTTTGCATCACAGTGTATAGACATGCAAAAAGAGTACCCAGTGAACTCAGCTTGAACTATTGTAGTTCCATTCAATAAATATGTACTATATGGGCCTTGTTCTTTCCTTTCACCTTCAGTATTTTGGTAGTCAAGTACAAACTGGAATTCTGCTTCTTTAATTCAATTCTGCTTCACTGGTTTGTATTGAGCATACTGGGTGCCAGGGCTTCAGTGATTCCAAACCATCCTCAAGGAGCTTAGGTGAAGGACTCTGAGATGCACTTTCTTTTTCTAGGCTACTTCTTCATCATTCTTCAGATATCACTTTAAACATCACTTCATTAAACAATCCTTTTTTATGCTAAGACTACCAGTTATATGTTTTTATAGCACCTTATATTTCTCTTTTGTAGTTTGTATCACAACTGTCATGAATTATTAGGTTGATTAGTTTATTTCATCTTCCTCACCCTCTAGACCAATGTTGTTCAAAAGAAATTTCTACAATGATGGCCATCTGCACTGTCCAGTCCTACCCTCATGTGGTTATTGAGCATTTGATATGTGACCAGTTAAAATAAGGAACTGAATTTTTAATTGTATTTAATGTTAATGAACATAAATTTAAATTTATAGTTAGTGGCTACTGCATTGGACTGTGCAGCTCTAGACTGTCAGCAAATGAAGGAGGGACAGGGTCTTTATCTTGCTTACCAGTCTGTCCCCAACACCAGGAAGGAACCTAGTACATGGTAGGAACTTTATACATGAATTAATTTGGATAAATTTTATATAATACTAGACATAATTAAATAAACTCAAAATAAAGAATAATCAGAATGTCATGGATGTGTAGAAGAACAAACTAGTCTGTCTGGCTGAAAGAAACCAGGAGGTTTCCTTAGAGGTGTTGGCCTCTAAGTATTGAGTCAGGAATGTCATAACATGTCCTAATGGCGCTCTGGGAATAAGGATCACTGGCTTCTCCTTGCACAGTTTGAATGTAAATTTCTGTGTATAACACATCCTCCTAAAATTTTATCCAATTACTTAAGTTAGAGAAAAAAATTTAAATGTCCTTTTGTTTTACAGTTTGCATCACAGTGACAAATTATCATTTGGGGCTAGTGGAAGTGGAGGGAGCACCTCTTAGAGGAAACCAGTTCATTCTCATTATGCTACTAAAGTGGCAGTGAACTTGTGATTCTACAAGACTAAAATCACAGTATAAATAAAATATTATTTTTGATTTTTGCCACAGATGGTGTATCCAATGTATGTAGTTTTTGAGAGATTACTTTGAAGTTAATTATATTTTACATGGATTAGGAATATGTTCATTAACTCAGTTAGTTAATGTGTATTCTTCTCTGCTGTCTCTCCTTACTTGCTCCCTCCCACTGCCCCACAGGTCCAGCCACCCTTTTGTACTCCAGATGAATTTACATACTGGGCAACTGACTGTGGAAATTATGCTGGGGCACTTATGTATTTCTGTTCATTTTATGTCATCATTGCCTACATCATGCTAAATCTACTTGTAGGTAAGTGATATTCACTGCATATTTTTAATCTCTTTAAACTCAGGTACTTATGTATAATTTTCAAGTAATTATCCTCAGTTGCTTGGGGAAGGTGTTTCATAGCATTAATTATAAATTGTTACCTCTCCATCCAAAAGCTAGAAAGACTTTTGAAAGGCACAGTTTTAAATGACAGTTGATTGCAATTTCAATAGTTGTCCTATATACTATGATTATTAACCTGAAAAGAGTTTTCAAGGATTGAATTGAACAAATATGGAGGGAATACCCGTAAAGTCCCCAAATGTTACATTTATGTTTTTAAAAGATACATTTTTCACCCAGCTGTGGGGCCACCCAGAACTCAAACTAACCTTCAAAAACTGCTCTGGGACTCTCTACTACAAGAGAAAGCCACCTGGCATGAATATCTATATACACAGAATGTATGTTTATGCTCACGACCCTCATGTTTTGGAAAGCCAGGAGCTAGAGAAATAGCTTAGTTCAAATGTAAACCTTGCCAACTTGGAAACCATACTGAAAGCGCTTAAAATTTTTGTCTTAACATGTAGCTGATAAAATTCATTATTTACAATATAGGTGTTACATTTTCTAATAAATTACAGATTGGAATAATTGTCTAACTTCACCATTTTTCTCTTTCTTTTAGCTATAATAGTAGAGAATTTTTCCTTGTTTTATTCCACTGAGGAGGACCAGCTTTTAAGTTACAATGATCTTCGCCACTTTCAAATCATATGGAATATGGTAGATGATAAACGAGAGGTAGGAGAGTAGATTGTCATTTCATGCTCCACCCAAAAAGGACTTATTGGCACACCTCAAAGATAGTATTATTGTTGGCAGTTGACATATATTGAATTTTGAATGACCATTGATGAATTGCAGAAAGTTGTCATTGACCATCCAGCAGAGTATGCTAAGAGGGGAGAGGGACAGAATAGTTCCCTCTCATGTTCTTTCCAACCAAGAAGGTCCTCTTCTTCAGGCTTTCAGAAGGTTAAGAAAGGAAACCAAGGGAGCTCTAAAGAAACAAGTTCAAATTACCAAATTGACAATTATAATACAGTTTCATGATCACCTCAACCTCAGAGCAATCCTGATTACAAGTGCAAAGGAGTTATTTGAGCAATTTCTTAAAGTTGATATTTTTATTTTTGAACTTATTATTTGACTTTTTTAATAATGAAGCTTACCCAAAGATTTACTAGAATTAGCCAAAGCAGCAGCAGCTTCTTCTTCATCCTCCTTCTCTTGCCCATTGTTCAGCCTAGCAGACACTCAGGCATAATTCTAGGCATTTACATCAATGAACAAGATGGAAAAGTCTTCTGTTCTAATATAGGAGACAGAATTAAAATTAAATAATAATTACTATTATTTCAAACACCTGTAAACACTTTGAAGAAGGTAATATGGTAGACAGTCATTAGAGTCAGGGGAAGACAACTTTAGCAGGGCTGGTCCTGTCTTGAGAAGTGCTACTTGACCCAATATCTAAAAAATGAGGAAAGTTCAATCATGGGAAAATTTGGGCAACAATCTAAAAATAGTTTCAGGAAGAGTTGACTGGGAGCACAAAGACCAAGGGACCAGAACAGGCTGAAGTAAATGGGGTGTCCTGGCCTAGAGCTGGGGCCTGCACAACCATATATGGCTTTCTTCACTCCCTTTGTTTGCTATTTCCTTGGTAACCCCTACTTCATCCAGGCACCATCTGTAAGGGATTTTCTTTCAAGACAGTGACCTGCATGTGCAGCTGTCTCACCCAGCTCTTATCTAAATTGGACCCACTTGATCTCCATGACTTCTACCTGTATGATCCTTCCTTCTTCTGACATACACATGGAAAGTGGGACCTCCACTCTTGTGTTAACTGACAGGAATTCATGGCTCACCAGTGTTCCTGCTACATGCCCAATACCTAATTTAAAGACACAGTCAGGCTGACACAACATGTTTTGTTGCTTGGAAGGGAGTGACACATGGAAGATTTTCAGAATCTGACCAAGAAGAGGGCAGACCTAAGGACCCAATTATCTTGTATGTAATTGGCCTAATAATGGAAAAGAACTGGAAAGGAATTATCATTCCATAGAACAACTTATAATAAATGTTTAGAACAAAAGCATCCAACCTTTTGGCATCTCTTGGCCACACTGGAAGAAGAAGAGTTGTCTTGGGCCACGTATTCAATACAAAAACACTAATGAAAACTGGTGAGCAAAAAAAAGGTCTGTGTATAATTTTTGTGATAACTGCCACCACAGATGAGCAAAAAAGTTTTCACACAATAACCCTAATTATGCAGTGGCCCTTTCAATAATCTTTTAAAATCATTGAGCATGTCCTAATTTTGTGATCACTAATATAGAAAATGTATATATCCAAGTAATAAAATTTAGTATAAAACTTAGTAATATTTTAAGTTGATTTAAAATTTTGTGTTGGGCTGCATTTATAGCCATCCTGGGCTATATGTGGCCCAGAGGCCATGGGTTGGACACTCTCCATTTAGAAGTATCTTATATCCAGACTAAGTGAGAAGAAGATCATGTACAATATGTATGTTTCATTTTTGTGCTAATGCACTACTGATCCACTCAGTATATATGTTGAAGAAACACATGAGCAGAGGCTGAGTCAGTGGAACAGGTTATGGAAAGAAAAGCATGGCCTAGCAAGTGTCAAGGCCAGGACAGGCAGAGGGAGAGCTTTCTCCCCTCCTGGGCTCCTGCATGGTTCTGAAATCCTGCAGAACTAGAGACACACCAGCAGAAACTCTATGTGCTCAGCTTTTTAAAAAAACTTTTTATTTTATTTTATTTTATTTTTTTATTTTATTTTATTTTTAAATGTTTTTAATTACAGTGAACATGCAATATTATATTAGTTTCAGTCTACAACACAGTGATTGGATGTTTATGTGCCTTATGAAGTGCTCAGCTTTTATCTCCTGTTCTTCTCAGTGCACATGCCCTGACCCAGCCTCCAGAAAGACAAAACACTTCCTTGCCATCTGGTGCCTAGTTTACCATCTTTTGAGAAATTGCTCCATGTTTTTTGGTGTGAAAACAGAACCCCAGTTGAAACATTACAGCCTAATGATAACTGTGCTCTGCTGCCAGGGCGTGATTCCAACTTTTCGTGTGAAATTCCTGCTGCGACTACTGCGGGGACGGCTGGAGGTGGACCTGGACAAGGACAAACTGCTTTTTAAGCACATGTGCTACGAAATGGAGAGGCTGCATAATGGCGGGGATGTCACTTTCCACGATGTCCTAAGGTACGGGGTCAGGGGTTCACAGGTCCATGTCATAGAGCTGAACTGAGTTCATAACCTAAATGCCACATCCACTGCAGTTATAACACAAGGTTATACTTCTCAGGCTCATAGTGGCATTTCTCATTGAAATTGAATGATGGTGTTCAAGTAAGTGCCTCACATGGGAGGTAAAGGAAGTATGGGCCTGACCTTCCCAGAAGTGTCCCTTACTAAATGAGGAGATCCTAAAGGGGAGAAGTTGAGGGATCTCAAGGAGCTTGATTCCACCCTTCATTTTTCAAGAAAGGAACTGGTCCAAGAAGGACTTGCTCACAGTTATTCACCCTCTGAAACCAAGCTGGAGCTAAAATTCAGATCTTTTCACTTGTGGGTCTGACAAGAATTTACCTGGGCTGCTCTGCAATGGGTGCCCTGGTACCACATTTTCTAGATATCTGATGAGTACCCAGAAAGGACAAAAGGCTGACTGAGGTCTGAGAGGTCTGTATTATATTGCTGTGACTGCTGTAACAGAATACCATACACTGATGGTTTAAACAAAAAATCTATTATCTCACAGTTGTAGAGGCTGGAAGTTTGACATTAAGGTGTCAGCAGGGTTGGTTTCTTCTGAGGCCAAGAATAACAATTTGTTCCATTCCTCTTGCTTAGCTTTCTGGGCTTTGCTGGTGATTTTTGGCATTCCTTGGCTTGTAAAAGCAAGCCAAGTCTCTACCCCAGTCTCTACCTTCATTTTCCCATGGTGTTCTTCCTCTGCCTGGGTGTGTTTGTATCCAAAGTTTCACTTCTATATGGACAGCAGTTATATTGGATTAGGGACCCAATCCCATTCCAAGTATGATCTTGTCTGAACTAATTACATCTGTAATGGTCTATTTCCAAATAATATCACATTCTGAGGTACTGAGAATACCAAAATATTTTTTGGGGGGGAGGAACAATCAACCCAGCAAAGCTTCTTAAACAGGAGCCACTGGATAATATTTAGAGGGTAAGGAATATGAAAAAGAAAAGAATTACATCTTTATCTTCAGTAATAATTCACTGAACTGTGGTAATTTTTTCAATGATAAATGCAGGCAACAAACCATAGTAATATTAACAATACCTGTGACTTTGTCATCAGTAGAAATCATAGATATTTTCAAGTCACATTACTACTGTAGCTGATATCTTAAAATATCCTCAATGCTCACCAGTACTTGTAAGTTATAGTAGTCATTTTGACCTCAGCTAAATGTTATTATTTACTACAATAATAAACAAGCACTTATGTTACTATATCACTCCTTTTCAAAGAAAATAATTAGAGAACTTTATTTTGATACAATTGGTTTCCTTTAAGTATAAGTTGTGATACCATAAAAGTCCTTGTGGAGAACATAAGCAGAAAAATCTCAGATATCCATGCAGTAATATTTTCACCAATATGTCCCCTAGAGCAAGAGACATAAAGGAAAGAATAAACAAATGGGATCTCATCAAAATAAAAAGTTTCTGCATGGCTAAAGAAAACAGAATTAAAATCAAAAGAGAACCAACTATGTGAGAAAATACATTTGCAAATGATACCTCAGACAAGGGTTTGATCTCCAAAATATATAAAGAACACACACAATTCCACTCCAGGAACACAATTCAACTAAAAAATGGGCAATGGACTTGAACACTTCCCCAGAGAGGACAAAGAGGGACCCAGAGACATAAGGATGCTTAGCATCACTAGCCATCAGAGAGATGTAAATTAAAACCACAATGAGATACTACCTCACACTGATCAGAATGGACAGCATAAACAAATCAACAAACAACAAGTGTTGGAGAGGTTGTGGAGAAAAGGGAACACTAGTGCACTCTTGGTGGAATGCAGACTGGTGCAGCCACATGGAAAACAATATGGAATTTTCTCAAAAACTAAACATGGAACTGCCTTTTGACTCAGAAATACCACTGTTGGGATATACCTTAAGAATCCCGAAACACCAGTTGAAAAGAATCTATGTACCCCAATGTTCATAGCAGCATAATTCACAATAACCAAGTGCTGGAAGCAACCTAAGTGCCCATCAGTAAATGAGTGGATCAAAAAACTATGGTACATTTACACAATGAAATACTATGCAGCATAAAGAAAGAAAGAGCTCCTACCCTTCATGACAGCATGGATGGAACTAGATAGCATTATGCTAAGTGAAACAAGCCAAGCAGTGAGAGAGAAATACCATATGATCTCACTTATAAGTGAAACTTAATCAACAAAACAAATGAGCAAGCAAAATGCAACCATGGACGTTGAAGTAAAGAACAAATTGACAGTAATCTGAGAGGAGGATGGAGAGGGATAATAGTGGATAATGGGGGAGCATGAAGGAACATGTATGAAGGACACATGGACAAAGTCAAAGGGGGTGGGTTTGAGGGAGGGAGGCAGGGACGCGTGGGGTGTGGTGGGGTGAAAATGAAGATAATTGTACTTGAACAACAATAAAAAATAATTGGTTTCTTTTGAAATAATGTGTATTTTATTTTATACATCTAAATCATTATTCTGAGAAGTGTCTCATGGGATCCACTGCCAAAGGAATTCATGCCATAGAAAAAGTTAAGAACCCTTTACTAGAGTGGTCTCCAACCTTTTCGGCACCAGGGGCCACTTTCCTGAAAGATAATTTTTTCACACACTGTGGGTGGGAGGATGGCTTTATATCCTGCCTCTAGATGCAGCTTCATTGTCACCTGCCACACACTGGTAGCGTTTTGATAGGAGTCTGCAAGTAATTGATTTATTATGGTCTCTGGGCAGTCAAACCTCTCTGCTAACGACAATATGTATTTGCAGCTGTTCCCTAGTGCCTCAGCTCCACCTCAGCTCCACCTTAGATAATCAAGCACTAGATTCTCATGAGTGCACAACCTAGATCCCCCACATGAGCAGTTCATGGCAGAGTTTGCGCTCCTATGAGAATCTAATGCCACAGCCAATCTGACACGAGGTGGATCTCAGGTGCTAAAGAGAGCGATGGGGCATAGCTATAAATACAGATGAGGCTTTGCTCACTCATCACTCACCTCCTTCTGTGCGGCCTGGTTCCTAACAGGCCACAAAACGTATGTACTGGCCATGGCACCGGGGGTTGGGGACCCCTGCTCTACTAGCACTAGCTATGTTCGTCATGTTGTAAATAACTGAAAACTTAAATAATGGATATTTTGTCACAAATGTCAGTAGCATTCAGGTATACAGAAATATACTTATGATTAGAATTTTTTAAATTACTACAACAGGAAAAATCTCAGGGAGTTCTCTCAAGGTCTCAATGTTACCTCCCTCAGTTCACTTCATCCAAGAGCAAACAAAAAGGCAGAAAACACTGAGTGAAAAAAACACATGAATAGCAAAGGATGACAACTCTCAGAATACCACTTAGGGAAGATGGACACGAGATAGGTAGGAGTGGAGTCCACTTCCCCCTGTGCACAGAGGAAACACCTAGCCTACCTTCTGAGGAACAGAGTGACGGTATCCCAGCATACATGAAGATTGGAGGCCAAAAGTTGTAGAGGACATTGAAAAATCAGACAGTAAGGAGATTGCTTCAGGACAATAAGGTCCCTGGGACCAGCATGGGGACCAGGGTGGCTACAGCCCCAGCCTGGGAGCCCACAGGGTCTACCACAGGATTCTTGGGAGATAGCCAGGTCAATGGCTCTCTCCCCTGCCAAACAAGGTTTGAGCAGCATCAGGAGGGACCTGGATGCTTAAAGTCTCAGGGGGTGAATAAAAACAAAGCAGCAAACACACAGCTGAAACTGTGGACTCCAGCAGGGAGGAGTTGGTCTATGGTGGACCCTGACCCGAATAGTCCCTGTCTAATTGGAGAGTTGAGCTGTGTGAGAGGCCAAGTGCTTGTTTGGAGTGGCAGGCTAAAATAGGAGGAATTTTTCAAAAAGAAAAAAGAAGCATTCAGTGGCTGTTTGCAGAATTCTGCACAGCAACTGCCCCAGCCTCCTGAGTCCCTAGCCCCTCCTGGCCTTGCACTCACACCCGCAGCCCTGGAGACTGCATGTGCCTGACTCCGAGGTCTGACCCCTGACCCCAAGGCCTGGTGGCCACCCATACCCCCAAAACACCAGAGGCCCAGTGCTCAGGCCCGCAGCACTGGGACAGAACCTGACCCCGCCAAAGAGAGGCATCTCCCACCTGGACCCTGTGCCCAGGACCCTGCAGGGCTGACTGGCTCTCAAAGAGGAATTGGAGATGCCCCCAGAAGAGAGCTGCAGGGCTCAGGGAGTCAGTAATCCCCAGAAATACTTAACTCAATGGGTCACTGAACTACCCTGAAGGGACTCTGAGAGTTCCTAGCATCTAGGGCAGCAAAGAGCAAGAAGGTGGTGTGCCCTTAACTGGTGCACATCACGGACAGTGCAACTAGTAGACTGAAGGCGTAGGCTGGTCACAGAAGGGCACTGGAGACCCAGCAGCATACTGAAGAACTGGGCTGGAGGCTTAGCAACTGTGAAGAGTGCAACTCAGGAAGGGAGAAAAGTGAAACCAATCCCTCCTGAGCCTGCTGCAGCCAGGAAGACCAGAAGAACTGGCTTGGCCACTTTAAAGCAGGAGAAGGCTCCTTTTTTTTAAATTTTTTTAAATTCTGTCTTCCTTTTTTCCTTCTTTATTTTTTTATTTTTTCTTTCTTTCTTCCCTTCTTTCTTCCTTCCTTTTTTTTAAATTCCCACAGGTTAGACAATAAAACCTGGAACCATAAAAAGACCAAAGTTAGATCAAAAGAGGGGTCATCCTAACAACTGAGACAGTGAGACAAATTTCACTTGGCTACTCCAGAACTTGCAAATTACTGTATATTTTTTATTATTATTATTTTTTACTGTTCTTACATCTTATATTTTATTAGCATTTTTATATTTCTCTTCTTTCTGTTTAGTCTTCTTCACTTGGTTTGTTAAATGGCATTGTTTGACTAGTTTCCTTTGTTCTCTCG